TAACCTGCTTTATCACTTGCATCTGGGCTCATTAGACCATCCTGTCTGGAGTCTGGGAACAGGGAGAAGGAAAATCTGCCTTATGCACTGTGCTTCCATAAGTAGTTATCTGTGTGGCTAACATAAAAATCAATACCATAAGCAATAGGAAGTGATGTCATCTACAGCAAGTAAGCCATTGCAGCTGGAACTATCAAGATTCTCAGACAAGTGGGTTTTGAATACACAATAGAATACTAGTGAGTGACCCATGTAAAGCCTGAGAGGGAAAGCTAAAATTACAATACAGAAGAGTTGCATGGTTTTCAACAGATAGAATCACTTGGAAATGTTCAAAAAATATCCGATTATAAAACAGTAAAATCCAGAGAACGGGGAAGAAATTATTTTCTTGTTGTGAGATCTCAGTTTAAAATGTGTTGAGAATAGTGAGATACCCAGGTTTGTTAATTACTACTTGGGACATTTCAGAATGAGTATCTTAAAATGCATGCTGGTTAATCACAAGTGTCCTGCAGTGCCCAGTTACCAGCTCAGGGCTCTTCAAGAACTCAGTGACACAATTCAGAATCATAACTGCCAACCAAGCAGAAACTCACCTGCACTGAGTCCAGGATTTTGTGTGGCGATAAGCATTTTTAATTAAAAGTTTCCCAGTTCCTAAATTTGGAACTGAATCTGTAAACATGTGGCACATTGAGCTAGCCAACCCAAGCATTATTGGAGCTGTGGGGAGAAACGTGACTTTTTGAAAAAATCAGATGGGTGAGCTGAGAAAATCCAGCTGTGTTTATTTCAAATCGCACTAATCAGAGTTCTTTTACTCTTTTCCTTTTGCCATCCACTGGTTTGTGTGTGATGGCTCCTCCATCCCCAGCCATTCACTTTTTTCTTTTAAGACTTGTTTTAAGTAGTGATGAAGGTTGAAACAATATAACAGGCATTTCCGGTGGTAACAGAATATCCTAAATCAGTCAGAAGCAGCAAGTCATCTTCATCAGCAATTAGGTTTTTTAACCCATGCTAACGGTTTCCTTCACAGTCCATACATTGACAAAGAAATCAAGACTGCTAACCTTAAAATAGAGATGTAGAGTATGGTGTTCCTTAATTAATATAAAATCGGCCTCTAAGAAGCAATTTCCCAGTTAAATTAAGGTACAATTGTTGTGCTGAAAGTCTGGACCCTCAAAAGACCACCAAGAGACCGGATTAAATGCAAAAGCAGAGAGTCTTTATTGTGAGTTAATTTGGGCCTTTCCGTCCATCTGAGGCAGTAGCAGACCAGGAGAGACTTCAAGCAGCATGGAGTGGAGGCTTATATTGTGGTTAGACAAGAGGGGGTGCTGCTAAGGGATTCCAAAACTCCATAGTTACAGACTTGGGATTGGCTCAAGCCCTGGCTAGGGAGGGTCTAGGGATATTGCAACATTGTAGTCTCTGCAGAAGGATATCCGGAGTTGTTTGTCCATTTCTGATTATCTCCCTGTGGGGGGAGGTGTTGATGGTCTTTCCTGTAACTAGGGCTAAGGTCAGGGGCAGTCACATCCTGATGGGGGGAGACTGCATACCACCATTGTGCTATTACTGCAGTTCTGCACAGTCTGTCACAGTCACATTGGAACCCTGCATTATTCCTATGAGGTGTTTACAGTAAAATGGTACAGAGCAAAGAAGAGCAGTCAGGAGAAAGGCAGGGACAGTAGGCAAGGAATGAACATTATCTTAATGAAGGACCTTGTCAGGCTCACCTCGGAAAAGTAGCTTTAAACTCATTATTCTACCAATAAATACCCATTCTGTTCTGTTAGAGGAGTAAATGGTGGCACCAGATGCTAAAACTCATTAGAAGAACTGTGGAAATCAGTTCATGTGAAGGTGCGGAGAAGGTAACATGATCAGAGGTGACCCGGGTTTCTAATGCCATATTGAAATGTTTGGATAGATAATGCCTCCTTCCCCCACTCTTGCCCTGAGCCATCCCCAGGCTGTCTGATCTCCTGTTTACTGTAATCATGCTTCCGTGGGAATTACTTCTCAGAGACACTGTCTTCTCACAGGAAGAGCTGGCTTATTTATTCAGTAGTAATGTTGGGCATACTAGACTTTGGCTATCGATTCATGTGTGTGTACCCACATTTTGAACTATAGGAGATTCTGAACTATATTAATTATTGAAATTTCAGTAAATAGCATTTTAAGTTATCCAAATAATTAGATGACTAGAATGAGCTTTTCCAGCAGCTATTGGTAGTTGGACTATACTGAAGATTATTGAAAAAAATCATTTAACTTTCTCTTAAGTTAGAAAATAACTTTAAACCAGATAAATCATGAGAGAGAGAGAGAGAGAGAGAGAGAGAGAGAGAGAGAGAGAGAGAGAGAGAGACTGCAAAGGAAACAATGAGTGGGAAGTTGTACTTGCAAGAAGAGATAAAGGGGATACCATCTAGTTGGGGGGAGCTGGCAGCTGCATGAAACAAGCTAAAGTCTCCTCTAGTAGTTTTAATAAGCGATCATTCTGTCCCCAGAGATGCATTAATATCAGCCTTTGATTGGGAACCTAGTGACGGGAATGGGCCCTCACTGCTCCCTCCCTTCTGTTTTAAATCAGCCACCTTTGCCATGTTTGCATAGCATGCTCCCTGAGTCCTGCCAGCTGCAGCTTCTGCCTGCTGCCTTCCAGCTCTAATCTCCTTAAAGGTGGTGCACCATGGCAACAGGCCCAGCCTAGAGCCCTGGAACCTTATTTGTATTACCTGAGGGGCTAGATGCAGCCTGGAGGAACAGAGGGATGTCACCTGCACTGCAAGGCTTGGATAGAGAGGACTTGCTTGGTTGTTTGTGTTTCTATCCTGCTTCTATTGGAGGCTTGAATAACACCTGAGAGGCATTTCTGCAAAGATGGCATCAGTAACTGAAGGCAGCAAGGAAATCATCCTCAATTGGTTCCTGTCTTCCAAATAGAAAGTTGTTTTCTGAGATGTAGTCCAGGAAGTCACTTGCTACACCGGGATGTGGCACCGCTATGGTTTGGGGTTGCACTACCAGATGGCTGTACACTTGCTTCATGTAGGTAGACGTTTATTTTGTCTTAAATAAAATTAACTTATACTTAAATGTTTGGAGATTATAAAAAAATAAAAGAATCCTTGTCATAACACCTTCTATTTTACTTATCTCTTAATTATCTCAGAGCCAGTGAGGCTTTTTCCTCCTGGAAAAAATAGCTAGAATTGTTATTTTCGTTTGTTTAACACAGATGATGGTGTCCTGTTTCTCTGTTCTGGCTTCTGATTCAGAATACTGTGAAAGGCCGTTGTGATAAGCTGACTAAGGTTTTAAAAAAATAGCATTTAGTTACTTATGATTGTGATGTATTTGTGCCATATAACTTCAAACATGTTTTCTTGTCAGAGCAAAGGAAAATGGCAAACTGTTGCTTTGTTGTATTTTTAAATACACTATATTTGGTGGCCTTTGTCCCTTTAGTATATACTTTGCATTATTAATGTGAACTACTATGTTTCCTTTTTTTACTTTAAAAACAAAGTGCTACCAGAACAGTTTTTTTCTCTGCCTAAACTTTAGATGGTGGATATTGTTTTGTTTTTGTTAAAACAACAGGCTAAATTATCCTTATTTCTTAAGATGTTCCTTATTTATGGAGTTTGACTAAGTGGGGTGGAGACAGAATATAGTGAATTTAGTGTTGGATTCCAGTAGCCTATTGCTTAATAATTTAGCTAAATACTCTTCTGGTAATAAATATGACAGCTCCTTTCAGTATTATCCTTGTTCCGAGTTAATGAATACAGCTGCTTATTTACTATTTTACCAAAATAAATGTCTTTACACAGACATTTCTTTGAGGACTTACTATTAAGGCCTCTAGTTGAAGCATAGGGGTGTTTCAGTCAATAAGTGTGATAATTATTGACTAAAATTGTGTGACCATACATTTTTGAATTTAGAAACTTTGTTTTTCATAATGTTTGACTCCATTAATTTTTATAATAGGAAGGCAGGGAAGTACTAGCTCCTGTAGTGACAAGAGCTAGGATACCCACCATTCTATTGAAAAGAGCAGGGAAATAGAATCAGCCAAGATGCCTGCCTAACAGTGTCAACTGCTCTCTGGGGAGTTTGACTTTCTTCCTTTCTTCCTTTCTTCTTTCTTTCTTTCTTCCTTTCTTCCTTTCTTCCTTTCTTTCTTTCTTTCTTTCTTTCTTTCTTTTTTCTTCCTTTCTTCTTTTCTTTCTTTCTTTCTTTTTTCTTTCTTCCTTCCTTCCCTCCCTCCTTCCTTCCTTCCTTCCTTCCTTTCTTTCTTTTAAACTATGGTGGGAAGTTTCCTCAAGGTATTCTATTCTTTATTCATATTTATACTGTAAAGCATGTCTAGAAGTCAAAGTTTGCCAGAAGAGAATTCCATATTGCAATGGAGCTCGGGCTGTTGAAAGACACTCTCGTGCTGAAAAGTTTGTCTTTCTTGCTGTCTCTCTCCCTTCTCGTGCTTGCTTTATCTTGCTCACTGTGTGTGCTGGCGTGGGGGTGGGAACCCACCAGAGCACAAAGAAACCACTGAGGATTCGGCCATTGTCAGTGATACACGAAGATAAATGATGTGAACTTTCAAATAAAATAAGAATGCCTTTTGACAACACTTTTGCATAAAAAGTGTTAAAGAGCTCTGAATAGTATGTATTTCTCCATTTTTCAATATAGAAATGAGAATACAAATAACATCTGCACAGAAACTTAGAGGTCCTTTGAGACTTGTAAAAGTATTCTGTTTTTATGCTTGTTGAAAAGGTGTGTTCACAAGTGTGTTCATGGTTTATGTATATATACCCATAAATGTGACTGGTAGTACTGTTGTTATTGTAGGGTATTTACTTGTTCCTCCCTTTAATTTTTCCCCTTACACCTTTGTATGTTGTTGTTAGTCTCCTTTCCTTAGACCTACGTGTAACACTGCTTTAAGTATCTTCTACTTGTAGGTCTCGTGGTCTGCCTAAACTGAAAGAGTCTCGTTCACATGAGTCCCTGCTGAGTCCATGCAGTGCAGTGGAATGTCTCGATCTTGGTAGAGGGGAGCCAGTGTCAGTGAAACCACTCCATAGTAGCATCCTTGGGCAAGACTTCTGCTTTGAGGTAAAAAGGAAAAAGAATTGCAGAAAGAAGAGAGAATAGTTGATAATAATTTGACTGTTTCGCTTTGTGTTTCTGATTTGATTATCATAACTGGTTTTCAGTTCCTGAAATTTTTCTACTCATAAGGAAAGAGTTGAAAAATCTGTTAATAGAATTATATTTGTAATAGAAGTTATTAATGATTACCTTATGCCTTTGTCTGCTTTAAAAACTTGAGCAGTTAGTACATTCTCAGTGTAGGTTATAAGATTAACAATAACTTATTTTTTAATATTGATTAAAAGGCATATACTGTTACTTAATCCGTAATTTTAAAGAATTTGGAGCAAACCCACCAAAATTACAGTTTTATAACTATAACACGTGCAGTTCTTGACCTAGAGCCATACCTTGTTTGGTTTTGTAATCTCCTTTGTGCTCCTAGCTCAATAACTGTCCATTTCAGCCACATCTCACACCCTCACTAACCACCTAAAGCTAGGAGCTGCATTTCGGACACGGTATGCTATCTGATCTGATTCATTGTATTATGACCTGAGAGTGTGAGTGAGTAGACTGCAGCTTGGGGCAGGCCATTCATATCCATTTATCACTGCTACTACTTACTGAAAGTCACTTGTATTTTTCCTTATTTGCAAAACTCAGTTCAGTAGCTTCTACTATAGACACAGTGCACTATATCATTTGTTATAAATGACCAAAAATCAACAGGCTGGTTGTCTCCTGGAGTAGAGATGGATTCCAAAGAGTGATTCAACTGTTCTGATGCCTTTCAGCTTCATTTACTAGCCTCCTGTAACATTGTAATGAAGCAGTTTTATGAAATCAAACGATTTTACAAACATCTCCCTTTTTAGTTATTTTTTATTAGCTCAAGTGAGTATACTCATTTATAGGTAATTTTAGATATAGCCTTAATTTTGTTTTAATTTTTTGTCCTCTGAACCATAGGCCAAATTGTAAATGAGTGTTTTTCTAATAGCTAGACATAAATATGGATGCTACCTAGAGATTAAAATTTAAGTAAAGATAGGACAAAACTTACACCTTCACGTAGTAAGATGGGGGTTTCCTAACATGTCCCTAATTCTTAAACTTTAGAAATTAGACACCACACACAGTCTTACAGCCACATCTCTAATCTTTGTGTTGAAGGTCACCTACTTAAGTGGAAGTAAATGCTTTAGCTGTAACTCTGCCTCAGAGAGAGATAAGTGGATGGAAAACCTTCGAAGGACAGTTCAGCCAAATAAGGTAATGGTGGCTTTGAATGTCAAAATATGTGTCACAAATAAGACATGTACACCACCCACTCTAAGGCTTATGGATCCTCTCATAAGAGGGAGCAACAGAAAGAATGTAATCCAGGAAGACAGGGGAAGAGCTAAGTACAGCCAGTGATCTCCTCGTAGCTGCTGTGGCAGCAGACCCACACAAAACCGGGTCTGTCAACAGTCAGTCATGGATTGGAAATGTTCAAGGGGTCCTACTCCTCCCTGCTCAACTGTTGGCTACTTGTACATTTAGGGGGAGGAGCAGTTACAGTTTTCAGGTATGTACCCACCAGAGCAGCCTAGCGAGCTCTAGTGGATGGTTCTACACCCAGTCACACAGACAGATGTTCTTGATTAAACTCAGTGGGTGTCTGAAAGGTGGGAGGGGGATATGATGTGTAACCAAGGAACTTGTAGGAAGGGGGAGTAAGGAGGGTGGGAAGGTGGGGTTACAGTCATCAGACACATGTTACACAGGTTTGAAATTGTCAGAACAAATTCAATAAAAGTTTTTTTAAAAATGTGTCACTTTGTAAACATCAAGTTGATAGAAGACAAATGTAATACTATCTTAATTTTATAAATCTTAATAATTTGTTGTTGTTGAGAGAGCTCACTTTGTAACAAAGGCTGGCCTTAAACTTAACAACCCTTTTGTCCCAGCATGGAAAGGGCTGGGATTATAGGCAATTGTTATCACATATGGCTTAGAGTTGACAGTTTGAAAAACCTGTATATATGTTAAGACATTTTACACTGAAAGTTATCTTACTGGGGACAATATTATTGTCATTTTACCAGTGGAAATAGAGACTCAAAAAAGCTAAGTGACTAGAAGTTAATACATGATAAAAAGTATATGATGCTAGAAAGCAACAGTATTAGCAACTTACCTTTTTTTATTTTTAGAAAGTAGTCCAGCCTCATATAGATGGCTGTAGAGTGCTCACTGTTACCTGATGATATTTTTTAACCCAAATAAAACAGAATCTGTGGTTCTGTAAGATTTTGTTTTGTTGCAAGTCAGGGTTTCTCTGTGTAGCCCTAGCTGTCCTGGAACTCACTCTGTAGACCAGGCTGGCCTTGAACTCATAGATTCACATTCTTCTGCCTTCTGATTGCTGGGCTAAAGGCTTACACCACCACTGCCCGGCTTTGTAAGATTCATACGTGAGTGTTTCAGCACAGTGCGTGTGTGGGAAGTCAGAGGACAATTTGCAGGAGTTCTTTTCCTACCACAGTATGTGTCCTGGGATCAAATTCATCTCATTGGGCTTGGCAGCAGGTGCATCTGCCCATTGAACCAGTACAAGATTCTTCTTCTGAGTTCTATGGTTCAAAACAATGAAATAGCAATTATTTTTACTCTGTTGACTACTCTTAGTACAGGAACATTAGTAATCAGCATTGCTTTAAGAAGAAAACATTCTCTTTGTGGAATGTCAGATCTCAAATTCACATTTGCTGTCTCTTTATAGGACAATTGTCGACGAGCTGAAAATGTTCTCCGTTTATGGATCATTGAAGCCAAGGACCTTGCCCCTAAAAAAAAATATTTCTGCGAACTGTGCCTTGATGATACCCTCTTTGCTCGTACAACCAGCAAGACCAAAGCAGACAATATTTTCTGGGGTGAACATTTTGAATTCTATAGCCTTCCACATCTTCATAGCATCACAGTTCATATTTATAAGGATGTGGAAAAGAAGAAAAAAAAGGACAAGAATAATTATGTAGGGCTAGTCAACATCCCCACTGCCAGTGTGACTGGTCGCCAGTTTGTAGAAAAGTGGTACCCAGTGAGTACACCCACACCCAACAAAGGAAAGACAGGAGGACCTTCTATTCGGATTAAGTCACGTTTCCAAACCATCACCATTCTGCCTATGGAGCAATACAAAGAATTTGCAGAATTCATCACCAGCAACTACACCATGCTGTGCTCTGTTCTTGAGCCGGTAATTAGTGTGAGGAATAAAGAGGAGTTGGCTTGTGCCTTAGTACACATTCTTCAAAGTACTGGCAGAGCCAAGGTAAGTCAAAAAGGGTGTGTTACCTGAAAGTCCTTCTGTACCATGTGCAAGGAAATGAAGCTGTGGATACTGGTTGAGACTGAAAATCCAGCCTAGAAAGATTCCAGAAAAGAAAAGGGAAATTAAGGTTAAGAAAGCTGCACACACTTTTAACCCCAGCACTCGGGAGGCAGAGGCAGGAGGATCTCTTGAGTTCAAGGTCAGCCTGGTCTACAGAATGAGTGCCATGACAGGCTCCAAAGCTACATAGAGAAACCCTGTCTCGAAAAACAAGTGAGACAGACAGACAGACAGACAGACAGACACAGAGACAGAGAGAGCGCTTATTAGCAATTCTATAAGGTATGGAGTTTTTTAAACTAAAGTAAGATAAGGAACTAGCAAATACTCGTTTCTAGTTTATTTTCATGTAGATGCCATGGTCGCAGTTGCTATGATAACCCCACAATGTGTTCAGATTCTGTTGTTACTGTTTTTGTTTTTTTCCTGAAACATGGTCTCACCATATTGCCTATTCTAGCCTCAAACTTGTGATCTGCCTGCCTCAGCGTCCCAAATCCCAGGATTAAAGGTATGATATAGGTGTGTAACATCATGCCTAGTTCAAGTTTTCCTGGAGTATTAAATGATGTATTTTAAGATTAACTGCTAACTATATCCCAGTAGAACAGAAGGAGATAATCAAGAAATGCATAAGTCTTCGTGGAATTAAAATCTATCAGGTACTGAAAGTGTGTCTTCACTGGATATGTTGAACAAAAATAAACACTATCTTTAGGGCCTTTCAGTTTTCTGGAGAAACCATATTAAGTGATTACAAAAGTAAATCTGGTGAGAAGTGCCGAGGGTAAGAAGATAAATAGTACTTTGGAGGTGTGGAGCAAGAGGAACTGTCAAGTGAGGCGCTAGGGTAATCTTGATCCGGGAGGGCTTCATGGAGGAAGCAGTATGTGAATGAAGATCTAAAGGTTTCCAGAAATTAGTTCTATGATAATGGGAGTAGAGGTAAGGGTAGAAGTAGAGGAGACCTGAGAACAGTATTTGCAAAAGATTTTTGTGGTGAATAGAGCACACTGTATATGGAATGGGCTGTGAGGACTAAGGACATTAAGAAACTAGAGAAACATGCAAGGACTAGAGCAGAGAGAAGAATGCTTGGTGAAGATCCATTCAGAATTATGGCCTTTTTTCATAAGTGCATTAGAAAATCTCTGAAGGAATTAAAAACTAAATGTAGAGCTGGCAGTTCATAACATTTTTATCCTGACTGCCTTTTCCTTTTCCAAGTAATTTGGTGACTTAATTTATAGCAGCATTCCCAGGATATCTGCTATTTTAGTCGTCTCTTCTAATCTATAGTCCTTACTCAGTTTCTTTCTTTCTAACTGGATATTATTCTGCCAGGATTTTCTGACTGACTTGGTGATGTCTGAGGTGGATCGTTGTGGAGAGCATGATGTCTTGATCTTCCGAGAAAACACCATTGCCACGAAATCCATTGAGGAATACCTCAAGTTGGTGGGACAACAGTACCTCCATGACGCACTGGGTATGTAAGAGGAAGATATCTATCTTCTTTCCCATTCAGTTTTAACTCTGTTACTTCCTAGGACAAAGAAGTTAAACTCAAACTCTGCATGTATTTAGTCCATCTGATTTGACTGACTTAGATTTCAGCTGTAAACTGTCTCTGCAGTACTTACCAATAGAGTTCTTTATAACTTGTGTGAAAATAGTAAAACCGTCAGCGTATATAGCCACCCCAATCCCCTGCATTTCTGATCCCAAGATATATAATAATATTGATGGATTTCACTACTAGAACTTAGGTGTCCTATTTCTCTTAAAGTATTGGGTATTCATATGACTGTATTACCTCAGTCTTAAAAGGGCTAACCTACCATTTATGATCATGCGTACAAAACTCTCATCAGAAATGAGGAAATGCTTGATAGTTCCTACAGTTTTACACTTGTGTTTTAAGGTCTCTAACTAGTAACTAATTTTTGCCCACTCATTAGTTGTTGATGACTAAGCCACTCACTAAGATCCAGATCTGACTGTGAAGTTAGGTCATCAGCTGCTAGAGTAAGGTATATGTTAATCACATAGCATAATAAAGTGATAAGATGACAACGTGGGTGTGAATTCCTTGAAGAAAATAGTGGTTTAGAGATGGACTGTCTGTCTGTGGTAGCCTAAACTGACCTTGTTTTCTTAGCAGTCTTCCTGCCTCCGCCTCCCAGTTCTAGGATTATAGACATGAGCCACCGTGACTAGCAATTTCTTATATCTCATACCCCTGGCACTAAACACAGAGTGTGATACAGCACTGTACTGTATAAGCCCATATTCTGTTCATTGAGTAGCTTCAGCTTTTTAAGTAGAGCATAAAAAGAGTAAGAGAAACCATTAAAATTAATGGCAAATTTTATTTAACCCAGTGTATTCAAATATCAACAACTGATTGATATGGGAATTATTAATTAGGTGTTCATTTTCAATGCTCTGAATTCAGCATATATTTTATATGTTTCCCACATTTTAATTTATTCTAGTTGTATTTCTGGTACTTACCAGTCACATGCAACCATCAAGAGTAGGCAGTAATAAGGTATGCTGAATGACATAGAGGTTTTTGTTCTCAAGGAGTTTAATATAAGGAAATGAGATAGGGTTGTCTGTTTATAACCAAAAAAGAAATTCTGTGTTTTTGCAGAGAATTTTTTTATTTGCTTTTTTGAGACAGCATTTCTCAGTATAAGAGTCCTGGCTATCCTGGAACTCACTCTATAAATCAGAATGGCCTTAGACTCAACAGAGATCCGCCTGTCTTTGCCTCCCAAATGCAGTCCATGTCTGAAACTCGTTGAGTAGATGATGAATGCAAGCTTCATACTTTTCTGTGAGAAGCTCATGGATGCAGATATCCCTGCTGATGCTCTGGGTGAAGAGTAGAAGGGTTATTTGGTCTGAATCAGTGGTGGGAACAATGAACAAGGTTTTTCCATTAAGCAGAGTGTCTTGACCCACATCACAAAGGGCATTCTTGTGATAAACCAAGGATAACTGGAGAGAGGAAGAGCAAGTCTGTTTTTAGATGCATTGTGGATACCAACCTGAATTTTCTCAACTTGGTTATTGTTTAAAGACAAAACAAAAAACAAAAGGAGAGAAGGATATTTCTGGACTGACAGACACTGTGCCTCCACGATTGGAGTCCAAAACAACTAGCAGAATCTGCCAAATTTTCAATCTCTCTAGAGATAATGTCCACCAGTGTGTTGTCAAGAAAGCTCTTAAACAAAGAGGGTGATGAGCCCAGGACTAGAAGCCCTCAGGATTCAGCATCCTGTTACACCACGAATCTAAAGATGTCTAAAGAAACAACACACTAAGAAAAATGAGGAGGAGGCTGCAGATATGCTAAACTTTTGGCCAAGATAATGAAAGAAGCCCAAGAAAAGCTGCAGGAACAGATTGCCAAGAGATGTAGGCTGTCCTTGCTGAGAGCTTCTACTTCTGAGTTCGGTTAAACTTAGTCTTTCAAAGTAACAATTTGATCAGATGTTGGGGGCAGGGAGGGTCAGTAGTTGAAGATACAGGTCAGTGGTAGCACACATTTGTAACCATTCGTGATCCCCTAGATTCAATCCCCACGTCTACCGTTTTTATTCCTGATGTCTTATTTATTTATGTGTGTATGTGAGACAGAGACAAACATAGCTTGTAGTTGGTTCTCTCCTCCCCCCATGTGGGTGCTAGGGATCCACTCCAAGTCATCAGGCATTATAAGAGCCTTTGCCCACTAAACTGTCTTGCTGGCCCAATACTACTTTTGGCAAAAAAAAAAAAATTCAGATGGTAAGAAAAAATAGTTGTCAAATTATGTTACCGTTTAAATATTTCTCATTGGTGTCTTGTGACATGGAAGAAATACCATCTGTGAAACATAAGTCCCCCATGCAAGTGGTAGACCTGAAGAGCCTTGTTTGCATCTATGTGTAACACCAACATTACTCCTAAAATCTTAGTTGGGTTATCTATTCAATCAAGCTTGGGTTGTTGTTTCCTGGACTAATGAGATTACTCACACTAGTAGGGGAAACTCTGTACAAGTTAATGGTAATTAAGTATACTTTGGGTTTCCAATAAAGATACTATATTTTTGCCAGGTGTTGGTGGCACACACCTTTAATCCCGCCACTTGGGAAGCAGAGACAGGCAGATCTCTGTAAGTTCAAGGCCAACCTGGTCTACAGAGCGAGTTCCAGGACAGACTCCAAAACAATGCAGAGAAACCCTTTCTCGAAAAAACAAAACAAAAAAGATCCTATATTTTTAAATAAAATCATTGCTATTTTTATAAATAATGATGATGCTGGTGATTGGTTCTATTCTGCCTGCAGGATAAAGTGTATGAATATAGGGCATGGGAGGAGATGACTATTTGGTTACAAAGCAGTGACACTTCATGGTTCCTCCTGAGGAAAGAAAACTAAAGAGTGCTAAATTATTTCTTATTCTATTTAGGAAAGCATAGATTAGTTATGGTACTTGTCACCTTTTCTCTTTGACTAGGGGAGTTCATCAAAGCCTTGTATGAATCAGACGAGAACTGTGAAGTGGACCCCAGCAAGTGTTCATCTAGTGAACTGATAGACCACCAGAGCAACCTGAAAATGTGCTGTGAGTTGGCTTTCTGCAAGATCATCAACTCCTACTGGTGAGCGTGTGTCCTTGCCAAGGAACCTACTATTTCTATGTGAATGTCACCACAAGGAAAAGACTTGAAGGAAATTGCAAGCTTCCCCTCCCTTAGTCCTGTCTAAAATCTAACTTCATTGTAAGCAGGACTTCTGAACTCCCTCTCAAAAAATAATCCTTTTCAGCTGTTAGACAAGTAGAAGTTGGAGGTGTCCGGTGGTGGTATTTTGTTTTATTTTGTTTAATTTGCTTTTAATATATTTGCTAGTATGGAACAGATGTATTCATAAATTTCGATCTTTCTCTACCACAAACAAATGGTGAATTTGGGAAGATTTTTCATGAACAGCCTTTAGGGATGTTATGGGGAGCTGTGTTAAACCAGATAGTTTAGTGGGAGCCTCATGCTGTTTTCCCACTTAGCTAAACTAAATTTGTACTAATCCAAAACTTTGTAACTTTCAGTTTCTATTCTCCACAAGACCTTCTGTGACTTTTCCATCTCCTGCCTGCCATTAATCAGTCTGACCCCATCCCTGAGTACCCAATGGGTCCTCCTCCTAACTCAGCTCTAGAACTGAGGCATACTAGGTCAGAGTGGGGTCACTTTCACAGGTTATAACACATCTATATTTAGAGGTTTTGGATTTGTTTGTTTGTATGTTTTCCCCCTCTGTAGTGTCTTCCCTCGTGAACTGAAGGAAGTGTTTGCATCATGGAAGCAGCAGTGCCTGAACCGAGGCAAGCAAGACATCAGTGAGCGGCTCATTAGTGCCTCACTGTTTCTCCGTTTTCTTTGCCCAGCCATTATGTCGCCCAGTCTTTTCAGCTTGATGCAGGAGTATCCTGATGACCGAACATCTCGAACTCTAACTCTTATAGCCAAGGTCATTCAGAACCTGGCCAACTTTGCCAAGTAGGTGAAACTACCCTAACTCTTTAAAAATAAACACCTGGCTTTAAAAATAAATGCATGAGCTTTTAGATGAGGCTGGGGAGCTGCTTTCCCACTCCTAGATTTTTATTGCATTGTCAATAAAGGTTTTAAAATGGAATCAAATACTAAATAACTCTGGTACAGATATTTTCAGATATAACAGCTGAAAATAATGTTTATAAGGGATATCTAATAATATGAAAGTGATGATAAATTAAAATACTAATTAAAGATCAAATGACAAATGATACATATGGTATTATTTTAGAATATGAAAAAACAATACAGCCGGGCGGTGGTGGCACACGCCTTTAATCCCAGCACTCGAGAGGCAGAGGCAGGCAGATCTCTGTGAGTTCGAGGCCGGGCTGGACCAACAGCCTCCAAAACAATACAGAGAAACCCTGTCACGTAAAAACCAAAAAAGAAAAAACAATACAGGTGTGAGAATATTGGGAAAAGGCTGGAAGTATGCTTACATTGGCACAAGGCCCTGGATCCCATGCATCCATCAAAAAAGAAGTGTTGTGAAAACAGGCAAATACTATGGTTACATCATCTATTGCAAAAGGCTGGCCATGTTCCAACAGGTGCTATTAGGAAAAATGACGAAGACGGATAGGTACTATATACAATCAAAAGAGACCAGATGTGATACTTAAAATTTATTGGTACCTTAATTTAGAAAAATAATGTGTAAAAATTATTGGGGGGTCCATTAGGATTATTCATCAGGTAAAGACAGTCTGTCAAGCCTGACAGCTTGAGTTTAATACTCCAAACCTACATGATGGAAGGAAAGAACCAGCTCTCTCAAATTGGCCTCTGACCTCCACATGGGCACCATGGTGTGCAAGCACCACTTCCCACATACAAAATAAACAAATGTAAACATTGTTTTAGTTATTTGGGAACTGGAAAGATAGCTCAGCAGTTAAGATCACTTAGGACTATTGCACAGAACCAGAGTTTGGCACTCATATCAGGTAGCTTACAATTGCCTGTAAATCTAATTCTAAGGGAATTCAACACCTCTGGCCTCAAGGGGCACCCGCACTTACGTGCACATAGATACACATATAATTCTAAATATTTTTTATTATTTGACAAAAACAAGTAGAATTTAATTAAGAACTATATATGAGATAATTCATGAATGTTTTAAAAGTTTTAATGTGAAAATAGCATTGATTTATATAAGAGATACTCATTTTGAAAAAAAAATGGACACCAAAGTATTTAGAGGTAATGTCTGTAATTTAGTTTAAAATGGTTCTAGATATAAAATTATATGTATCTGTAGAGAATGGAAGCAAACCTGGCAATTAAGAAAAAAAGTTAACAGTTGGTTGATATAGATGGAAAGCATATGGGTGTTCATTATATATTCTTTCAACTTTTCTGTAGGCTTAAATTTATTTTCAAAAGTGTTAAGAGAAGCTTTTTCTTTGCTAGCCGCTTTGGTTTATCCCCCACCAGCCGCCTGGGATCTGCCGCATTGTAGTCCCCAAATAAACACACAGGAGGCTATATTCATTATGAAGCTGTTGGCCTTTGCTTATTTCTTACTGGCTAGCTTTGACTTAAGTAATTACCCCATAATTGTTAATCTAAGTATTTCTCTTACCGGAGAATAGTTCCGGGTTTCCTACCCCATGGCGGTTACATCTCGAACTCTCTTGTGTTTCTCCTACCCAGAATCCTTCTGGACTCCTAGTCCCTCCTATCTAGATTCCCTATTGGCCAGACAGTGCTTTATTGGCATAAGACTTCCCCAACAAAAAGGAAGTTAGGAAGCCCAGAACAGTGGCTCACACTTTCAATCCCTACACTCAAGAGGTAGAAGCAGATGGATCTGTGTGAATCCAAGGCCAGTTTATTCTGCATAACAAGTTTAGGCTGACCAGCCAGTGAGACTATCTCAAAGAAGGAAGGAGAGAGGGAGGGAGGTGGGAGGGGGACCAAGATAGAATTCAAACTTTGCAAAATTGATTAGAGGAATATTTAATATCAAGACAGACAAGCTTCTACCAACAGTGTATAGAAGAAAAAGTGTCAGTGAAGCTGATTGTCTTCTCATATGTTTTGTAAATTTTATTTATTTTATATGTATGTGTGTTTTGCATGTGTGGTGCCTGCAGAGGCCCAAAGAGGTCATTGGATTCTCTAGGACTGGAGTTAGATACAATTGTGAGCCACCATATAGGTGCTGAGATAGAACCCAGGTCCTGAACCACCTCTAATAGAATTTTTTTGAAGTTCATTGTTTGAATTTTATGAACCTTATAGCTAAGCCAGCATAGAAAGATTTGTCCATATTTGAGTTATTTCTGATAAAAAATTATTTGTAAGTTATGTTGAGGCAGGTTTTACAGACTTAAAGAAGGATAGCTAAAATCAGATGGACAGCAATTTTTCTCTGAAATAAAGAGCATGAACAGAGACCTAGAAAAAGCTCCCTCCCATATAGTCTCCCCTTGTGCAAGGACTGCAGTCCATGGTTTCAGTTACCCATGATCAACTTGATCCAAAGATATTAAATGCAACGTCTAAACCATTGTGAGTAGGAGACATCTTGTGATGTCTAACACAGTCCCACGGTCCATTTTTCTATGTATCCATGCAGTGCATACCACCTACCTGTTAATAGACACTTGGTTTTCAGATTAACTATTGAAGTATAATGATTATATTCAAAACATCTTATATTCCTTAGTAATGGTGCCCCCCCCCAAGCAGAAGTCGTTATGCCTGCAGTTTGGATGTGCTAAAGAGAAACTAAAGTCCTTTTAAGTTTTTGTTTTTGTTTTTCTAAGAGCGCATGTGTAGGATAAAGTATAGAGAGTTCCATAATATCTGCAGTTTCAGGCATCCATTGGAGGCCTTTCAATATGAACTATGGATAAGAAAGAGACTACTATGGACTATATTTGGAAACTGAAAAAAAATTAGTAAAGTTGATGGTTGTGTTGGTGGGCATTTAGTAGATAACTAAGGACTGTATTATATGAGAACTTTGAAGACCAAAAGAGGAATCTTTGTCTCTACTTTTGAGTTTTTCAATATGAGTTAAAGTAACATTAAGAAAGAATATTTTAGCAGTTACAACTTAAAGAAACAAAATCCTTATTGTCGGAAAATAAAAAGAAATGATACCTCTTTGTAAGTCAACTCAAAATGTTAATATATCTTTCCTTGATCTGTGTTCTTTCTTATTTTCTCACCTAACTCAGGTTTGGTAACAAAGAGGAATACATGGCATTCATGAATGATTTTTTAGAACATGAATGGGGTGGAATGAAGCGGTTCCTTTTGGAGATCTCTAATCCAGACACCATCTCAAACACCCCAGGCTTTGATGGTTACATTGATCTGGGCAGAGAGCTATCAGTTTTGCATTCCTTACTGTGGGAAGTAGTTTCTCAGCTTGATAAGGTAAAGTAGGAGGAGGGAGGGTAGTGGGAAATGTGAGATACAGAACTTAGTGTCCAGATGCTAGAGATCATCATGATGATAACAAACAGCCTTTCTGCTGGTTGTATACATACATACATACAATATGTATACACATACATACATACATACATGTATATATATGAAAACTTACCTAGAAACTGTTATCATATATTAGCATATGCATCTTTGTCCATGTATAAGAAACTTCATCTGGTAATTTCTAAAGACAAGATCTTTTTTAAAAGTACAGGTTTATAAAGTATTGTTCATCATACTTATTTAACTTTACCACAGGGGAAGCTGTTTTTCCCACTGTGTAAGTCAGGGTTGAATATAATTTTCATCACTAAGAGTCACATAGGATCCAAAAATACAGATATTTTCTTTATCTACAAATGTGAATTAAGAATATAAAAATAATCATTTTTTTCTAATGACAAATGAACTTTATGTCATTTTAATAGCTAAGTATAAAGCATACCAATGATTTTCTTCATTCTGGATTTTTACAAAGAGGAATAGATTCTATAGTAGAAAATAATTCAGTAATCAATGCTATTTTTCTGTGATAAGGATTTATTTGCTTTCTTAAATTTTCCTCTTATCTATAAAATGTTATATCTAATAAAGAGTGTAATAGGAATAAACTTCTTAGTAAAATTTACTATCTAAAAAAAATAGATGGCAGTATGTCCACTGGAACTTAATGTTTATAAAACCGTAAAACATTCCTTATTCTCAAGTACTACTTGTACACTTTAAGAAATGCTATGTGAAAGTTGAAGTGATGTGGAAAGTAAATTCTCTAATATGAATCTTAGTTTAACCTTGTTGAGCAAGTAAAGGCATTCTTTAGATAACATCCATACCTACTTTGGCAGAGTGGGAGAGTGTCAGTTGGCTGGAACATGGAGCTAAGTGTTAGAGCACCTGCCTGACACGTTAAGACCTTAAGTTTCAATGTCAGCAAGGAAGGCACACAATATAATTCAGAGGTAGACTACCTGCCTGGCATGAATAAGGCCCTGGGCTTGATTGTCAAACACACACACACACACACACACACACACACACACACACACACACACACACAGTCTACTGATCACTGAGAAGATTAAGACGACATAAAGGAAACCATAACTGTTATCCTAAACTGCATAGTGGTTGAGGAATTCCATGAGAACCCATAAAGATAAGAATTCCATGATTAAGATAGATAAAACAATTATTTTAAAAGTTGTTTGTTAGATAGCTGCATCAGTAAGATACACATACAATTATGAAATAGGCCTAATTTATTCATGATCAGAGTCTTTCTTAACAGACTTTTCTGTGTGAACACACTGACTCATTTTTAGTCTTTAGTCGTAGAACAGGAGTATATCTAGATGTATCTGAGAAGAGAGAAAGATCACCTGATTTTACTGTTTTATTTGTTTTGATTTTTAACAAAAGACTCAGGTGACAATGATTCAAGATTCCCAAGATTGGGATAGTGGATTATACTGTAAACTAACTGAATGTACTGCCGTTCTCTGGGTCCCTGAGTTCAGCACCTCCCTGTATGTCGGCATGTGTTGCTTTCCTCACATAATCCTTTGTCTTTTGAAGTTTCATCATACTAGTCAGTCACCTGATCCTGAAGTTCCTTTTGGTTAGAGGGTGTTTGGTTCTTCCCTTTTCCTCCATCTTGGTCTGGTAGTCACTCAAAGACTTAGTGTGCTTTGCATGCATATTTTAGTTGGAATGGCAATAGTTTGTTTGTTTTGAGCATGTTTTTAATTTTTATTTGCATAATCCTAATTTCTGTTTCCTTTCTTTCCTCAATGTCTACTGCACCTTGTTCCGCCTCCTCCATTCATCTCGACGCCATGGTTCTGCTGCTCCATAACAATGCATTATGAACTTGCCACTCCCATATGCAATACCTACCCTCCCTCCAACCTACATCCTTCCATCAATGGGCATCATTGTCCCCAAAACAATATGTTGTGGATGTCACAATGCTTATTGTCCAATTAGGGTGAAAATTCCTTTCTACAGGCAACTGTGGCAAAACTGGGTCCTCTCCCTCGTGTTCTTGCTGATATTACCAAGTCTCTGAGTAATCCTACACCAATACAACAGCAACTGAGACGCTTTGCTGAGCATAGCTCCAGTCCAAATGTCAGTGGAAGCCTCTCCTCTGGGCTGCAGAAAATATTTGAAGACCCCACTGACAGGTAGGTATGCAAGAGGATTTGAATGCTGTTCCCCAAACAGAAACCTTTTTATCTTACTTTTGAAAGTTCGCAACTTACAAGAGCAACTGAAAAGAATCATCTGAGATAAATCCAGTTGTTTATCACAATGCACAACAGTCAGTATTTATTTTCCAGGATGATACTGTAGCGTTTTGTAGTGTAAATATACACAAATATCTATTTGTCATGTTTCTTGGAAGATAAAGGGCTTTTATAAAATTGATGTTTTCATATGATCTACTATTCCCTAGACCAGGGGTTCTCAACCTTTCTAATGTTGCTACCCTTTTATATGGTTCTTCATGTTGTAGTGACCCCCAACTGTAAAATTATTTCCTTGCTACTTTATAACAGTAATTTTGATACTATTATGAGTCAGAATGTAAATATCTGATATGTAAAATATCTGATAGTGTTCAAGAATGGCTGCCCTAGACCCTCAGTTGAAACCATTTTAGAGTCGTCTTATGTCTGCTGGATAGGCAGATAAAATGTTGAGCCTTCAACTTTGTGCTCTGAATTCGAGCGATTTATGCCTTTAACAGTGAACAGAAGTTCTCTGAAAGTTTAGACAGAGCTAAGTATGAATTAGGATATTTGAAAGAATGTTCTAACTCATTAACATCTGAAGACAGTGGTGGGTGGTGTATTATTTTCTACCTTTGGGAAAAAATAGTAATGCTAGATTTTATTCTAAGATTTGTAGTGATAAAATCTGAGTTTCTAAGTAAATACAACTTCCGTATAGTGAGCCTGTGAAACTTTGAAAGAGTTCGTATGCCCAAACTGAAGAACTTTTAATTAATGTTGAATTTGCTTCAAGAATAATTAAGGAGCCATTTCTTTTCCACAGTGATTTGCATAAACTAAAATCTCCAAGCCAGGAGAACACAGACAGCTATTTCAGAGGAAAAACATTATTGTTGGTTCAGCAAGCCTCCTCCCAGAGCATGACGTACTCTGAAAAGGATGAAAAGGAAAGCAGCCTTCCTAATGGTCGGAGCATCTCCCTCATGGACCTCCAGGACACTCATGCTGCTCAGGTGGAGCACGCATCTGTCATGCTTGATGTGCCTATGCGCCTTGCAGGAAGCCAGCTTTCTATAACCCAGGTGGCTAGCATCAAACAACTTCGGGAAACCCAGAGCACTCCCCAGAGCGCACCTCAAGTAAGAAGACCCTTGCACCCAGCCTTGAACCAGCCAGGAAGTCTCCAGCCTTTGTCGTTCCAGAACCCTGTCTATCACCTCAACAATCCAGTTCCAACAATGCCAAAGGCCTCTGTAGATTCTAGTTTGGAGAACCTAAGCACAGCCAGTTCTAGAAGCCAAAGCAATAGTGAAGACTTCAAACTCAGTGGACCCAGCAATAGCAGCATGGAAGATTTCACCAAAAGAAGCACGCACAGTGAAGACTATTCCAGGCGGCACACTGTACCAGACAGACACATACCTCTTGCTCTGCCACGACAAAATAGTACTGGGCAGTCCCAAATCCGAAAGATGGACCAGGCGGGGTTAGGTGCCCGAGCCAAAGCACCTCCATCCCTCCCACATAGTGCTTCCTTACGTAGCACAGGGAGCATGTCAGTGGCATCTGCAGCACTGGTGGCTGAACCTGTACAGAACGGGAGCCGATCCAGGCAGCAGTCCTCTTCCTCCAGAGAGAGCCCTGTTCCCAAAGTGAGAGCAATCCAGAGACAACAGACACAGCAGGTAGAGTATGCTTAGAAGGCTTTGACTTCTGCTTGGATGGACAACTGGGTTGTTTCTTTGTATATAAAATTGTGTCCAGAAATCAATCTGGTAACAAGGTTTCCACTTAAGAATGTTTCTGTAACCTTTAAACAGAAGAAAAAAGTGGAAAGGTTAGGAAGGCTCTGACTAGGTGAGAGCTGAACAGAGCTTGACTGGTTACCCTTAGGAGACTCTAACAAACACTCAAGAGGCTTTTCTATTCCTTGAGGAACAGAGCTGCCTCTGCAGGGTGTGCTTAGACCATAGCTGTGGCATTGGGAGAATAATTATACAGTTATATAGGAGACCTACCATCAAAATCAACTGTATTTAGGGAATCTGTAAACTTACCCTTCTTAATTTTTTCTGTAAGCTTCCAGAATATAGTTTTGTATTCTGAGCTTACAGTTTAATGTAACTGTTCTCCACTTCATCCCCCAACTCCCCATGGAAATGCCTTTTCCTGGAAATAGCTCGAAAAATAAACAACTGAACACCTAGAGAGGCAAGGGAAAGAGGAAAAAAAATAGAAACACGGTGGTTGACAAGTACTTGAAATACCTGTGCATCCTTTATATTACCACATACATGAACAAGTCCAGCTAATGTCTTACCAATCCTGATACAACATTTGGAATTTTATTTATTTGCCCAAAATGCAATCATTTTTTCCTTTATGTGTGACATTTTGAATCATTTATACATATTTTGCCCTTTGATATGAACTAATAACTTTAGAGGTCTCTCTTTTTTTCACAGCACCCCTCTAGCCCAGTTCCATGTGTTCACTCTTTCAAAAAAACAAAACATTGAGTCCTCTTAAGTATAGGACTACCTACTGGAGCATGGGTAGTTTTTCAAGAGTCATATCCCTAAAGACAAGATACTTTCTCATCCAGCAACAGTCAGGTGCCAGTGGCATGTCAGCTAGAACATAATGATCCCTTCCCTGACTATGTTGGGATTTGGGCTGGCTTAATCTTGTATACACAGCCACAGCTGCTATGAGTTAATGTGTCTGGTGGTTCTGTCATGTCCAGCAAATAATGTTTGACAAAATCAGCTACATCTGTTTCTTACAGTCTTTCTGCCCCCTCTTCCATGATGCTCCCTGAGCCTTGAAGAGGGGACATATGTGCTTTTGATGTCCCATTTAGAGCTGAGCACTCCAAGTCCTTATTCTCTACACACTGACCAGTTGTGGATCTCTGCATTAATCACCAGCTACTACAAAAAGAAGCTTCTCTCACTAGGGATGATAGATGCACTAACGTATTGATATAAAGATAAGAAATTAAGGGTGTCAGTTTCTTACTGTGTTCATTTAGCAGAATGGTATTAGGTTGTTCCCTAAGGCCTATCATCTAACCAGTGATGGGATTTGGGCCCAGTTAATACTACCAGGCATGAGTTCTATCTATGGAAGGGTCTTTAAATCCCAAGAGATTGGTTGGTTGCTCTTTAGATATATCTTTGTGTGTGTGTGTGTGTGTGTGTGTGTGTGTGTGTGTGTGTGTGTGTGTGTTGATGTTTTCCCTGCATATATGCCTGTTTGAGAGTGTCAGGCTCCCTGCAACTGGAACTACAGACAGTTGTGAGCTACTATGTAGGGCCTAAGAATTGAACAGCGGTCCTCTGGAAGAGCAGTCAGTGCTCTTAACTGCTGAGCCCTCTCTTTAGTTCTGCTCTTTAGATATATCTTGCCAAGCCATCTTTCAAGTTCTGGAGGGAAACCAAGAGCATTGGCAATGTTTGGTTGGGGTCTGTGGAGTCCTGCTAACCAACATTTCAAACAGTGGTAACCTGACTTGGCACTGGCCCTTTTATTTGATAGCTTATGTATGGTGTGTGGTTCCTGAGAGAGGTATAGCCTCCTCTCCCCATGCACCACCCATATCAAGTAATTCCATTTAAATTCCTCATATAAGTAGGTGTGTGTGTGTGTGTATGTGTGTGTTTGTGTGTGTAAGCATCTACAGTAATAGGTTTCCATGGGGGCATTCTTGGAGGTCTTTAGTGTTAATTATCCATACTGTGCTCCCTTCCCATCCCACACCATCATTTAACCCTTCCTGTCCCATTATTTCCCTTGCCTCCTTCGTACTACCTGAAGTGTATCCCCTTCACTTGAAATCCCTCCACACAGCACCTTAACTTGTTTTATGACTTCTGTGTATACTATGTGTATATTTTTATTAATTCTTTGAGAATTTAACACATGAAAACAATGTATATTGATCATGTTTTTCTCCTATACCCATCTCCTCACCATCTACTTTCCAACTTCATGCATTACCTATATACTCATGGGCATGGGGTCATCCACTAGAGTGGAGCATACCTACTAGGGGCCACATTCCTTTAAAAACAAAATTTAACGTTCCTACCAGAGGCTATCAACTGTAATAGCTCTCTAACTTTGAATGAGAGCCAGTAAGCCCCTACCCTCCCTCATGGAATTTTTTTTGAAACATAATTTATATTGTATAAGTTCTAAAGAGTTTATGATTAAAAGAATTTTATGACATACTTTTAGGGAACAAACTAGCTGCTCAGGAAGACTAATAAAATCTCAACTCATCTGTGTAATACAGTTACATTTTTACAGGGAGGTGCTTCCTTATTCCTACTACAGTCAGAACCCTTTCCCCTGCCCTTGCATTGGTATTTATCTTAAAAGTTGGACATTTGCAGAATCCTTAGATACAGAAGTTGAGGATGAGCTTAAACTTATTCAGAAAGCTGACTTCCGAGGAAGAGTGTCCCGGGTGATTATACTTTCTGGAGGAACAAAGCTCCTCAAGGTTAAATTCTTCTTTTTAGTTTACTGTATTTCACAAGATTGTGCTGATTCATTTGATCGAATAGCATCATCTAAGGAAAAATTGTGCATACTCCTGTATATGGAGCTCAAGCTGGCCAGGAGCTATGGCCGTCGTACTCATTTCTCTTAGGTTCCCCAGGCTCTTACCACCACAGCTGGCCAGCCTGTCTTTTACATACACACACTGATTTATACAGAAATGTACATGATTTTTGCTGGAAGGTCTTCATTTATTTAAGCCTTCTTGTAATTTAATTTCATCACATTTCTGTGCTAGCTTCCAGTTGATGGTAACTGCTTTCAAAGAGTTAAAGTATTTATTGGAAGAAGAATGGACAGCTAAGTAAGTTTAGAGATGAAATGCTATAGAAAAGCTTAGAGCAGCTAGAGGACAGTGAGGATGGGGTAGAAGTAGAAAAGTTCTCATTGATAAGGACATTGATTAGGTCCAGTCCTGAAAAGAAAAGGAAAATCAAAAATCTCTTCTTTGGGCAGGCAGTACTCTTTGCTATAATCTACCCAACTGCCCCATGCAGAGTACTAAATAAACTTTTTCAAAAAGATGTTTTAAATTTTTCTCCTTTTACTTCTGCCTTATAATTCTTATGCATTTGCCTAAGACCAGTTGCTACTTACAATATTTTTTCAATAGAAAAACATAGCACCTAGCACACAAGAACAAAACATATGCTTCCACAGTGAATACAAGACTGCCTAGATGTGTATCATCTCCAAAAACAAGTTTTAATTTTTCTGTTACAACCATTAATGAACTAGGGAATGTCTATACCTCCATCAGCTGGGGCACAGCAACAGCAAGCTCTCCTAGCCCAGATTTAAAATATTTCATCTTCATTTATATCCTGCTGATAACAGCCACTATCCTAGAAGTAGAAACCTGGTGTTTTGATTGCTCAAGTTTGTGAATTTTCTACAATGACGTTTTCTATCCAATAAGTAAATGGCGCTTATTCTTTTGAACTTGTTGTTACTCTTTTTATTCTTTCCATTTCTTGTGTTTTTTATCTCGCATGAGTCCTCTGTATAATCAGCACATTTTTAAGGCAAATATGTATTTTAATTGCAAATTGTGTTAGGGAATTTTTTCTTTCTCCCAACCTAGAGGGTTTCTTTGTGGGGATTGTTTTGTTGGCAGTGTAATCATCAGTGGCTGTGTCCCATGCAGATTCCATTTGTGTCTTAGCACAAAGGAGAGGCCTTTGTTGGCAGTTTGACTGGCTTCAATCTTCTCAAATAGTGAGTAGGAAGGAAATAAAATCCTAGCAAAATACTTTACTAAGAAACAATTCTTTCTCAGGAAATTCTGAATATTTTGACCCCTTTGAGCCTCTGCCTGCATTCCTTTTTTTCATTCTCATCTATCCATCTATCTATTTCATATCATGTATCTTCTACAAATAATAGACTTTTTTAAATATGTGAGATTTAGTATGTCAGAAATTAATTTGAAAAGGCCTTTTAAATAGGCATGTGACAAGCCCTCCAGTGTCATGTTGCAGTTTTCACATTTGGATTTGTTGAGACCTCTTCTAACCAAACTCTTTAAGAACTGTCCGAGTTTAGTTATAGTTACTTTAGTGTTGATACCAAATTGATTATTCCTTTATGAGAATTTATTTCAGACTGTGAAGAAACTGAAACCAACAAGTGTTGTTTTTATCTCGTAAACACTTGCAAGGAACAGGAGAACTGGCCTGTTCCCAGCTGTCCCGGCAGAGCCAGGCTATGACTAACGGTAGGATCAGTGAAACTGTGCATCAGGCCTTTTACCCTAGAGCATATTTTTTCCCAAGGAAAGCCTACATAGATAGCATCACCTCAAAGGAGATTGTAGAATGTCCTCCCTTTCCTGTCTTTTTCACCCTTCATTTTTGTTCATGACCTCTTAAAAGTCAAGTAACTATAAATGTTCTTCCTAAGGCTATAACTAAGCAAGATGAAATCTGAACCACTTACCAGCTACTTTCTTCCATTTCTGGGACTATGAATTAGAAATAATAAGCTTTGTTATATATCCAGCTTATAAAAAGGAAATGAGATAATTGTTAATGGAAAGCCTTTGATGCCCTTCCAACGGACTACAGGAAGAACAGTGTCCTTCTCTTAACAAAGTGATTTTAGCAGTGAATTCTGAAGAAAACTTAATGTTAATATATAAAATTTTATTAAACATTTCTTATACATTGAAGTAGTCACTGTTGTTCAAAAGAATTATATGATGTAGTGCTGTTTTCTTGGTGGTGATGTAATTGGTGGTCTCACCAGCACATGTGAGACCAAAAGAAAAAAATAACAGGGCTGGAAAAATAACTCCATGATTAAGAGCACTTACTGCTCTTGCAAAGGACCCATGTTGGATTCCCAGCACCTATATGGCAGCTCATCGGCCTGTAACTCCAGATCCCAATAAGTATGATTTTTTAAAAAGAAAACCTTTAAAAGACAGTTTATAGATTTTTCATGTAGTGCACATATTCTAACAATTTCGAACCAAAATTACCTGTTTTCTTACACTCTAGTACAGTAACTACTTTTGACTTCCTCCATATTGTTTTCTAAAGGATGTGACATAAACAGAAAGAATAAATCTGATCTGACCCGTCCTGTCAATTTTACTTATCTTCATATTTGACGATTTACCCAGACAGAGTAAAATTCAACCAATAAAATATGAAGAGAGTTGAGATGCCCAGTTCCTATTACACAGTCTCTCCCATTCACTGGTTATTGCATTGGTTCTCCTAAAAATACAATAGCTACCACCATCATCAGTGGTCTGAACCAACCCTTGCTATAAAATCTCACATAACATGTCAAGCCTAGATCACCTCCATTGTTTCTGCTGTCTTGTTTTTAATATGCTTTTCAAGCTGAGATCTTTTTCCTTTGTATGCTTTTAGGCACTCTATTAGTTTAGAACTAAGAAGATTTATAGTTAATAAGTACCCATAACAAATAACAGGGAAAGAAAGTTTGTCCAAGTAATAATATCTTGTTAACCACTGAAAGCAGGAATCTATCAATAGCTGCCTTTATTAATAAGTTCTTAATAGTAAGGTTAAATAGTAGCCTATAAAGTAATTACTTCATCTCAAACTACTGTTAAGTAGAAAATCCTAGACCATCAACTTCTGTCTATCCTAACTGTGCTAAAGTAATTTCACTGTAAAACTAAAAGGCCATTTGTCTCCTTACATACTGGTATCTATGAGTTAAGATTCAGTACTGCCTTTTTGTCTTATATCAGAAAATGAAACCCAATGTTTCCATTTTTCTTAATCAGTATAGAAACAGTTCATTGCACTCTGCTTTTCACACCCAGCATGCAGAGAACTACACATATATTTGTGTATAAAGACTTGCAGTTTACAAAATGTTTCACTCTCTGTCTTGTTTTTCTTTATAAGTTTTGGATGTTTGAGCTGTCCTGGAGCACACAATGTAGACCAGACAGACCTCAAACACACAGAGATACCTGCCTCTACCTCCCCAGTGCTGGGACTAGAGGCATGTGTCACCATGCTTAGATCTTTTGATATGAATAGTTCTTTCATTTTGTAAATGGCACTGTGTCCTATAGGCCAGAGTTCCCAAAGTGTTATGTTCAAAACGATGTAAGTATATGTAGGTATTTACTTAGTTATATAAATTATACATGTTTGAAAATATAACCGTTAATATCTGAATATTTAAGTACATACTTCTGTAGTATCAAACTCATGGCCCTTCTGATATTGCTTAGTGTAAAGGCTTATGTAACTATAAAAGTTTAAAGAGATAAGGTAGATACAGCAAAAACTAACCCACAAATAAATGAGGTATAATAAACATTTCTGTAACTGTAGTAGAAGTGGAAATAGAATACAAAGGATACTGAAATTTAAGATTAAAACACGTGCAAATTTAAAATCATGACTTTACACAGGGAATTTCTGGACATTCATTCACAATGTGTGTGTGTGTGTCTCTGCTTATAGAAGCTTTATCCTTCCTCAAGCATAAAGCCGTTCTGTACTGAGCAAAGTTCTTCAAACCTTTAAGACAGCCTGTGTTAGTCTTGTATGTATTTATAAAGTCTCTGAAGACAGGCTTTTCATCTTACCTTCTAACCCTCAGAGTCATCATAATCTGCTTTTATTTAGAGTTTAACTGAGTTCTAGTCTAGAATGTTACAAACCCCCATCCACTTCTGACCCAGTGGGCCCCGTCCATTCCTAACAAACACATAACACTTACGCAACTGGTCAGAAATTAAACCTTCAGGGTTGGGAGTCCTGTGTATCTTGGGTGTCCCGGGACAAGCCCCCATATGTTATGCCAAGTTTGTGAGACCCCAAAAAAGACCACCAAGGAGCCGACTCACTGATGCAAATGCATAAGGTCTAATGTTAAGTCACAAGCCATGGCAGGGACCCTGTCCAGCAAACTGGCACAGCAGCTGCAGGAAAAGGGTGCCTAGCTTCAATTTCAAGGGTTTTTTAAGAAAAAAAAAACCCACAAGCAGGGTGGTATGTGCCTTTGCTGTTCAGGATTGGGTAAGAGTAGATGACCTTTGGATTCCCTGACATGGGGAGGCTAGAGGAATTTCAAAATTGTTACTAGCAGTTGCTCACAAGGACAGTTGTGGCGAGATGTTATTTACCAAAATTAGTCATTGCCTGACCACCTGGATGGGGTCACTTTGTCCGGGGTAGACAGAGTTTAGGTGCTCCATGGAACTGTTTATGGATCCTTGGCTGGAGCTGAATCAGCCTTGTGCCATGCAGGGAATTTCTCAGGATGGCTTTTTCTGATGATGGTTTCAACTCCATCCTCTCCAGTTTACCTTGCTTGTACAGTTTCTTAAAGTATAGCTTGGAATGGGAGAGTAAATTCTCTTAAATTATGAAATTCAGAGTTTTTCCTCAAAATAATTAATCCATTTTCATTATAATAAACTAACATAAACACACAGATTTTTTTTTTTTTTGCTATTGCACATATACTCTCTCCCCCTTCATCTCCATCATTCCTCATCCTCATACACATACATGTAACATGTATACATTTTCTTCCTGTCTCTGGCAGCCTAGAAACTAACACTCTTTTAAGTTACGAAAGAACTTTTCACATATACTGTTTTATCAATCCTCAGAACTCCCTGTGAGATGGTCAGGTAGGTAATGGGAATTGTGACAATGGTGGCATATTCATTCAATAGATGAGGAAAATAGAATTTAAGAGATTAGTTTTAACTACTAAATGACAGAGTGGCTTCTCAAAACTAGAATTTTTAATACTCTGTATGTCTTGAGAAAGATAAGAAAGACATTTATCTTGCTGTCTTAACTAGATAGAAACATACCTTAGAATTCAAATTGGTTTGTCCTTATGCAGATACATGTTCTCTTTCCCTACCCCCTGGCCCTAGCATTAGTAGGCTATATTATCAAAATTTGAAAGCATGTATTAAGAGTGATCACAGTTACATAATTGTCTTTCTGAAGCATAATTGGTAATAAAAATCTCTGATGTAGGTTCAGTCACCTGTGGATTCTGCCACAATGTCTCCAGTAGAAAGGACAGCAGCCTGGGTTCTGAACAATGGACAGTATGAAGAGGATGTGGAAGAAGCTGATCAAAATCAAGATGAAGCCAAGCATGCTGAGAAGGTAGAACTTAATTTGTCTTTGTTACTTAATGACCCAACAACTGATATGTGATTAAAAACAAAAATGCAAAAGCAAAACTTGGCCTGGGATTCACTGCATAGCCCAGGCCTTTGTCTCTATTTCTCATGTTAACCATCATATCTGTGTATTATAGGTCAGGAGTGGCTCTGTGAGTATATGGACAGTGTCTATTATACTAAGGAAGAGAAGAGTGACATAATTTTTAATGTAGGTTACTTTAATTTGGAAAGCACTTTGATACTGTTTCTAACCATTTTGGTTGAACATTTATTATTTCTATAAACTTTGGTCTTCAAGTTCTCATTTACATTAGGACTAGACAATCTAAATCTTGGGGACAGTCAATTTATATTTTAGTTGTTCTGTTGGGTTTTTTGTCTTTTGTGAATAAAGACTGCCTAGTTATACAGATAATTATTTAAAAGATATCTGATACTTGAGGGGTTTCATGTAATATGTTGGAGGGTATATGGATTTGTTTGTTTTCTGAGACAGGATCTCACACATACCCCCATACTGACTTCAAATTCAGTCTTCTAGCCTCCACCTCTGGAGTTAAGGGCATTTATTTATCTGTTTATTTGTTTAATTATTCATTTATTTATTTACTTATTTTAAAGAAAAACAGACCTGGAAAACTTAAGCAATAACCTTAACATCACATTTAATTGACCACCAGACAACTAACCTTTTTTTGATTAGAAAATAATAACCTATACCTAATGATGCAGCGCAACCTTTCAGAGTAACCAGCATAATTTAGGGTAAGTTCTAGTGGAGTAAAGATAGTCTAATGAGCCCCTGCGGCAGGAATCCTGCAGTACAGGTGATGACATGTAAGTCTCTTGTCAGTCTTCTAACTATTCAATCATTTTATTTTTCTTTCTCCCTTCTTTTTGATACTGTTACAGATCGGATGTGGCTTGTCACAACTGCTAGTTTAATGTGAAAAAGGTGCATAAAACTATAGAATTCATAATGCCAAGTTAAGATTCATAATGCAATTTTAGACACATGACAGTGCTTCCTTAACATTTATGCCAGCCAATGCTTTTAAATAACCTGGGCAGAAGCAAGTCATGGCAGATCAGGCAGCATCTACCACATCATCTTGGGTTCTCCAGCTAGAAAGTGTATCAGTAACTTCAAAGCCAATATAATTCCTGTCATTTCCCCTTTGCCAGTATGAACAAGAAATTAGCAAATTGAAAGAACGCCTACGAGTGTCCAGCCGGCGGCTAGAGGAGTATGAGCGCCGGCTTCTGGTGCAAGAGCAGCAGATGCAGAAGCTGCTACTGGAGTATAAGGCCCGGCTGGAGGACAGTGAGGAGCGGCTGCGCAGACAGCAGGAGGAGAAGGATAGCCAGATGAAAAGCATCATCAGCAGGTTAGAAGACCACCTGCTAGCTGACTGGCTCTAGTTATGTACAAAGACCTGAAGAGATGATCCAAATACTTTCAACAGAATAGCCCTGCCCCCCCCAAAAAAGCCATTTTCATCCGTGTGTGTATATTCTGTGGTACTTGATATAAATGTAATGACTGTGACTCCCAGGTATTAAACTAAATAAGATCTGATGTACTTACCATGAAGGTAAGGTAGGTTTTTCTTTAACCATAGCAATATTAGAAAAAAGGGCGGGGGACTAGGAATTTATTTTGAAGTTTTAGGTGAAAGTTGGGTTTTTTAAATCTATATCTAAGATTTAACTCAATTTGCCCAGACAAGTTCAAAAACAAAGTTCTACTGAGTGTCTTTAGGGCCAGAGGACCAAAAGAGTGCCATGGATACTAACAAAGGAGAATCAAGAAGAGGCCCATTTGCCTGTATTTGCAGAGCATTCACTGTAGGCCAAAACACTTTTCTAAGCACTTTATAAATAGTACTTTGTTTTATTTCCATCTTGGTCTCTGAAACAGACATTATTATCGCTTATTTATAAATAGAGAAACTGGCTACAATTGTTTGCCCGAGGTAATGTAGTGGAGACCTAGGGTTTGAGCCATGTATCAGACTCCAGACTCCAGACTCATAACCACTAGCTTCAATATTGCCACATGCTGTGGACAAAGTAAGAGAAGAACAGAAAAGGGGTTGCTGTTTTAGTACCCTGGCAATAATTGACCTCATGCTGAGAGCCATAGGAGTATAACTGAGGAGTTATGCATAAGTGGGTTGAGATATGAGTAGTAAATGAGAAATAAGATCTACTAGAACATTCTGTAGGAAACATAGCTATGCAAGGGAAGAGGGTAGAATGGTAGACAGTGTAACTTGAGAGTAAGAGGAGATGGTTTGCAGCCAAGCATGGTAGTGCTTGCCCGTAATAATTCCAACATTCAGGAGGTAGAAGTAGGAGTACCAGGAATTCAGGGCCAGCATCAGCTACATAGCAAGTTTAAGGCTAGCTTGAGCTACATGAGATAATCTCCAAATATAAGTAATTTAAAAAGTAGATAACCTTTTTGTTTTGTTGTTGTTCATTTACTATTAAGATGTTTGCTAAGAGAGTGATCTAATAGGAAGATGATGATTATGAGAATACTATTCTCAAGAAAATATAATGTTATGGAGCCTAGCCACAGGTAAAAGAACCAACTTAGGATGTCATCTTTCAGGGGAAGATAGGAGAAGAGGAAGAGAAAGAAAAGGTTATTGCAATAAAATAGGGAGCCACCAGTATTACCTGGCCCTGTCTTTGAAAATATTGATACCTCCTCCCTTCCTCATTCTAGGCTAATGGCCGTCGAAGAGGAATTAAAGAAGGACCATGCTGAGATGCAAGCAGTTATTGATGCAAAGCAGAAAATAATTGATGCACAGGTAAGCAGGCTCTGTGCTTAGAAGAAAGCACTTGTTTTTAATACCTGTTATTTTCTGACTGCCCACCCTTGCAAATGGCAAAGCAGTAGAAAATGGGACTCTGAAAGTTTCTTGGCATTATCCTTTGAATATTAAATGAGTTTCCATATGGCCTCGATGATTTTTCTTTGATGACATAGCATGAATATTAGCATGTAAATTATTGTGTATTTAATGTAGTTGTTTGACGCATCTTAGCCAAGTACGTGATGAAGTTGGCTTCCTTCCTTGTGGAAAGGAGGACATTCTCTAAGAGGATAACTGTAAGAAGTGCACTGCATGTGTCTGGCTTGGGATCTCCACTGATCATTGCTTGGCTGTGTTCTTCACGGTCTTGTCAGTCACATCCACTGCCATCAACGCCTAGTCCTAGTAAGGAAATGGTAGAGAAAAGACAAGGTTGTAGAAGATAGCGTTCCTTTGTTATCCTTTTGGTTCAGAGTTTGGCATTGCTTCCTGGAATGTGCTTGGCTTCTCTTCGTTGTTGATGCTATGCTTAGAGAACTTCTTTGAATATTTAAAAAAGGTGATAAAATTAGAACCTATGATAGCTTACACCTAGTGGGATGATAACCTCCAAGAGCCCTTCACAAGGACACCAGTGATCAGAGCAAAATCCAGGATGTAGGAAATGTTTTCAACTCCTTGTTGCTTTATCACTATAGAGTATGACTTATTTCCTAAAAGGAAATAAATTGCAGCAGGCAGTTACAGTTTTGATAGTGGTCCTTCTAACCACACTGAGTGTATCACTTCTCATAGCTAAATTTGCATTTCTTATTTTTAAGCTATATAATAATAATGAGAGCATTCTACCTCATTCTCTATGTATCAACCACTAGTCAGTATATACTAGAGCCCCCAATATTCTTAAATGCGCACTTCAACATTAGAGTTTCCTTATGAGGTCAATGTAAGATGAGGTTTATTTTTCAAACTGTGAGCATAGCCATAGGAAGAATGCTTCACGGGCTTCATCCATCTTGGAGCTCACTAGACTTAGAAGCTAGTTATGAGTTGTGATGCTTTCTCACATGCATAGATGCCAAAATGTTCTAGACTCAAATTCTGGATATTTTGGCCTCTTTTAAACCAGAGAAATGTTATACTTACTTTACTTGCTCTTTTAACTTTTTTACTCTTCCTAGGTATCCCCAAGGTAAGTGAGGGAAGAACAGTAGAAACAAGGTCAGCTTGCTATATCCTATTAAAGAAATCATTCCATAAACTTAAGAGAAACAGTGTAGATAAAGAAGCCAACGTCATCATGAAAACTAATAACCACTGACCACTCAACTTGAAGACCACTCTCAACTAATGGGCCAGAACATACTGGGGTTCATTAAATATGATATGTTTCCCACTAAAGCATAGGCTTTATTATATCATAAATTCCTCTACAAAAGCAGATATAAATCCCTAAAGAATACTCAAGACAATCTACTGGGCCACATTTGAAAACCACTGCACAAGACACAGAACAAAACATAAATACCAAAGGCAGTTAAAAATATAATAATGTCTTAAAAGGGAACATTCTCAGTCCAGGCTATTGGCTTACTAGTACATAGAATCATAAAAGAGCAAAAGACTGTGCATATGTAGATAGTCTTTGTAACAAATGATTTTTTTATCAGATGCTTTTCTGTGAAAACAAACCTTAACTCTTAAGTGATTGTTGAAACATTTCTTAAATGCAGACATGTTTGGAAATAATAATCTCCCTAGGAGGTCACTCATCATTTTATATCTGCAGCATATGGCTTAGTGCCAATAATAGTAAGAAATATTTCTAAAATGGGAGCAGTGACTTTCTTTGTGCTAGGATTAATTGTAGCACTTATCAGAACTCTAACATTCAGGTACCCCAGGAATGGTTTTCATCTCCCTCAGCAGCCCCCTGTTCCTTGTTGGAGAATTCAACTTCTCCCTCTCCTTGAATCAGTTCTTGCTACAAAGCACAGGTGCATTATAAGTCCCTTGGTGCAGAACTGCAAAACAGTGAGTTACAGTATCACCAGTGCTGAACCTCACAGCAATGGCACCAAGGAATCTTTATGTATATATATATCCATAAAGTGTGGCACCCTCCCTCCCCCCAGGCATGAGGGCTTATCACTCCTGGATCTCTCCATGTGACTAGATGGAGAACAGCACAGAAAGGTGCTTCTTCCTATGAGAAACAAAGCAGCTGCCTAGTTACTATTGCAAGTGATATCTCCACTGTGTTAAATTACAGGTCATAAATGGAAATGAAATTATTCAAACAGGCAAGTAATCCCTGTGCGTTCTCTAGCTGAGCAGTTCCCAGCCCTGGCCGCACTGGCCTCCTATACATTCCAGCTCCTGGTACTCCCATGTTGAGTCCTTCCTTTCAGGCATGTTAGATGGCTTTGTGTTCTGAACCAGGCAGAATCAAATGTCATAGCAATTTTTGCAACTGAACTTTAATTTCAAAAGATCCCATTTCCTGTTTGAGGTTTTTTTAATGGGTAGAGGGTGTTTGGTTGTTTGTTTTTCCTTTAATTTCTGTTTTATTTGAGAGGTTGATAGTGAGGGAACTACAAAGGGAATTTCTCTGCTTAGAAACTTTCAGGTGTCTGGAAGGATAGGTTGTTTGATATCAGTTATTATTTGCAGGCAATATGTAATTATAGACCCTTCTCAGGCTCTTTTTTTGACCCTTTAAGACTCAATTTGATTTATTGAGAGGGTAGAAGATTGTCTTGTTTTGTTTTTGTTTTTGTGAATGCTTAATTTTTTTATGAACCCCAAGAATTCTGTTTTCCTTAGGATTGGGCCTTGTCATTTGTCACAATACTGAAATATCTTTCCTTATCTATTTTAAGAAATTATCACTTATGGTACAACTTTTCAATTATATAATACATAAGAAATTTATCAAAATTAAACAAATGTTTATTAAAATTTAAATACTATTCTATTTAGGAGTCATTCCTCACTATGAGGAAGGGCATTATATTTGAAATCTACCTATTGGTTTTTTTTTTTTGCCCTGCCCTTACTTATTGTCTTTGAAAAATGCTGTATTTGTTTTTCTTCTAAATTCCACTAGCTACAATTTTTAAGTAATTAGTATTTTTAAAAGCTTTGTAAATCTTTCTTTGAATTTTTCCTGTTCTTAAAACAAGGCATCTTATGCAGTAAGTGGATAGTTAATAATACTGATTAATAATACTGATTCTGTATGTCTTACCACCTGAGTTTTACAAGAGAAAATGGAATTATTTTAATGAGTAGTAATAGCAAGAGTTAGGTTGTCTTTGTTTTTTCACATATTTGCAACTGTAGCTACCACCTCTACTACCACAGAGACACCTCCTATCCCCAGCAAGTGGGGGGCAAGCATTGCCCCTGGCGGTGTGTGTTCCAGCAGAGCAGTGCTAGGTCCTGTGTAGCTTCTACTTTCATAACAGGAACAGCAGCAAGCTTCAAACTTGAGCCCTCTTGCTGCTCTTTAAACCCTACCATGACTAAAACTTGTCTCTCATCTCACTGGATAAACTCAGAGACTCCCAGGAAAGGGAGCTTCATTTGGTGTTAGAGTTGATCCTCATGGGCTGTTTTCTTTTCAGTTTATGAACATAGGTAAAGATTGTCCTTCTCTGTCATTATTTTCTGAAAAAAAATAGATACTTTGTATTTGTTGGAGAAAGTCCTGGGATGATTTAAAAATTAAAGTCTCAACTAATTATTGTGAGACTGATGTTTTATCCTACTGTACCTTTTGTCCCTCCTTTCCCCTCTCTGGCAAATATGTGGATATATAACCACCCGTAGCTCCAAAATACTGTCTCTAAAGCATTGTTTTGTTCATTTATTTTAAAAGAGAGAAAATGAAAACATTCCCTTTACTGGGCAGCTTTCCCAGAGTAACTGAGCTGGAATGGGTCTAGGAGCCTGTGTTCTCTGTCTGTTCTCATGTGTTATGTTTATAGCATCCCTTTCAGCCACATCTCCCTCCCCATATTCAAACAACTCCTTGGTCTGAGCTTCTGGCTGCTCTTATCTCCTCTTGCTCTTGCATCCTCACCTTGTTGGAGACTCTAAACTGCCACTACGTATTGCTTTAATTTGAGCAATGTGACTTCTTCCCGGATGGGACTGTTATGCCTTCTTTGGGAGGTGAGCCCATGGATCACATGTACTTCTCTTCTGTGAAATGAAACCTCTGGTGCTTCTTTCTTTGCCACCTAATTTCCATGTTTTAGTTTTGACAAAAACACTTACTACATAAAGGCAGCTTGACCCATGGTGCCATTTTCATAAGACAGCCTAGTAATGCCTCAACGTGTCATTGGTAATAAGTCCTGTTGTCCAGAAATGAAAAAAGAGAGATTAAGGGGAGGGGGAGCTGAACCTAACTAATGTGCAGAAAGAGGCAGAGACGTTCCATTTGTTTGGGGAGCACCATGTGTACTGTGCTGTGAGAGAAAGTACCGGAGTAATCATTCAATAAAGAAAGAAAGTGGCTTCCTCCATGCAGCCTGAATAAAGCCAGGATTGGTGTGTTGCAGGAAAAGCGGATCATGTCCCTGGATTCAGCCAACACAAGACTGATGAGTGCCCTGACTCAAGTGAAGGAGCGATACAGCATGCAGGTCCGCAATGGCATCTCTCCCACCAACCCCACCAAGCTTTCCATCACGGAGAATGGTGAATTCAAAAACAGCAGCTGCTGATGGCCTTTGTGAATACAGACTGTGGGAGGAGACAGAAGGAAGTTGCCCAGCTCTCCTATTCCCAGCCTTTTAACCCTCCAGGTTTACAGAATGTTGCTTCAAATAGCTGTATGGAGAGAAACTCTTAAATGAAGAAAGGAACCTTGTCTTTCAGGGCATAAAGCAAAGACCACCAATGTCGATGCTTTCCCCAGTGTCTCTATGTACATAGGGAACTTAGTTCTGGGCCATGTACAGAAATACCACTGTAATATACCAAAAGGAAGTTAATAATGTAGATGACCTTTTTAATTATTACTATTTTATTATTGTTTTTCTCTTGTTGAAAGCACTGCAGTTTTTAGTGGAAGAAAAATAGGAGCCGAGTGTGAGTGAGAAATGAGCCTGTCGGTTCAGTAGGTAGAGACTCTGTTGAATAGGAGCACATGGAGTGCAATAGGACCTTGTCAGAATGAGTTTTTTTTCAGGGATTCATCTGCCAGTTTCAAAGCCTCACCCTAGTCCCTTACCATTAGGAAAACATGCAAATACCAAGATCCACACAAAACAGTACTTTATGCCACTGATCAACCAAGATGGTTCTGATCAGACAATAATCTGATTTGGAGAGTCACCATTTCAGAGGACATGGATAGGAGTGGTTGATTGTACCAAAACTGAACTAGAAATGATTTCTTTTGAACTCTTATCAGTATGTTTGTTTCCTCCATCTACAGCAGATGAGAATTTTCTGTTTTAGATATGGGACTTTCTGATTTTTACTCCTACTTTTTTTTTACTACTCTTTTGAGTTGACAGAACTATAAATATTTGTGTCTCTGTCTACCATCTTCATTTTCACACGTGCACTGTCCTTGCCTCCCCACGCTGGGAGCAGTCAGCACCAACAGGGTTCGCTCTCCACTGGAGAGTTATTCAAGTAAGCCATTCATAAGCCATCTGAATAATACCCTTTCTTCCATACAGAAAAGGGCTAATTACAACAGAGCAGGAATCTCTGAATATTTCCCACTAAAATTTTTCTTTCTGTTTGTCAGATAAAGATTGAATCTGCCATACTAACAAATCTGTGGGCAGGGTTATTTCATCACCACTTATAACCTTTAAATTGCTGCTTCTTTCTATTTATCCCTCCCATTTGTGAAGGAAATCTAAAAACTGAAGCATCTTTTTCTTTTAAAAATGATAACTAATCTTGCTATAGAGAACCAGAATGTGAGGATGGCACATTCCAGGTGTTATTACACACTCATGGTAGACTCAGCAAGAATGACCCAGGTTATCATTAATGGCTTCAATACAGGACAGAAAATCTATGTTTTTCTTCAGAGTGTGACATGCCATCTGGAATGCAGGCTTAATTACCAGGGGTAGAGAAAGTTAGCTGCAGGTTAAACAAATATATATATATATATATATATATAAATATATATACATATTCACACATATGTACATATAATGTGCACATCAAAAAATGTTCATACCTTCTATGTTGTTGGATATACAGAAATAATGTTTAAAAAGGGTCTTGAATCTCTTTAAGCGAAATCTACATCATTTTATGTTGAAAAAACAGCATTTCTCAAATAAGTTAATGTTTTGTTTTTTAAGTTATAAACTTTAAGAATTTTTTTAAGTAAAGGATGCGGAGTGAGACAACAGAGCCATATGCATGGAGTATGTGTTTCTACATAGTAGGATAATTGTAAGAAAACAAGAGAACATGTGTAGTGCCCTCTTTGTTTGAAGTCCAGGCATAGATACCAAGCCCTCCTTTCCACCAAGTCCCAGGCATGCATTCCCAGTGTCACTTGCCCCTTAGGTTGACCTTTATGTCTGACCTTGAATCTCAGCAACCTCATCAGAGCCTCAGCTGACAACCTTTGAAAGGGGTTTTTTCATAATAACCTGTTTCTATGAGGCAGATGCCCAAGCATCTCACTGTGCTTGGAGCCATAGGCCTCCAAGCCCACTTGAGTGTTTCCTTGACCCTTAACAGCTATCTTACCAGGTTTTGTCTTCTCGCCAAGCTGAGACCACATGGTGTTTAATTTACTTCATAAGAGAAAAGGTTTTTGAATCTGCAGTAATGGCCTGTACTGAGTGAAGTGGGAATGTAAATGTAGATCTTTTCTTGTTTGTAGCTTAGCAATGTTTTTTCTTCATTCTTCCAAACCCTTCAGTAGTGCCACAGAAAACCTAGTTCAATTATTAGTTTCAAGTGGCCTGAAGTATATAATGTGGTAACGTCTTGCTTTGAGGTTGAGAAAGACTTGAGGTGCTGGTTATAGATTACAAAGATCTGGTCATATAAGTGTAGTGATGAATGCAGTTTAAGTAAAGGCACTGTGGGGCCTTTGAAAGCCTGTCTGCATTGCAAGATTGAATTTCAAAAGATTTGGACATACAATAAGGCTCTCTAACCATCATGTTATCATGAATGAAGAGAAAAAAGTAAAATAACAATAGTAAGAAGATTGGAAGTCAAAAGTTCAGCATTGTTGCAGATACTAAATCTCAGATTATCCTTTGAGCCTATTCATCTTTTTAGCCTATCAAAAATATTATTCTGAGCTGGGGTATAGCTCAGAGTGCCAACCTAGCATGCCAGAGGCCCTCAGTTTTGTTTGTTTGTTTGGTTTTGTTTTTTCGAGACAGGGTTCTCTATGCAGCTTTGGAGCCTGTTCTAGCACTCGGTCTATAGACCAGGCTGGCCCTGAACTCACAGAGATCTGCCTGCCTCTGCCTCCTGAATGCTGGGATTAAAGGCGTGCGCCACCACTGCCCGGCGAGGCACCACATGAACTGGGATAGTGGCACACAGGCCTGCAATCCCAGCACTCCAGAGATGGAAACAGGAGGAACAGGAACTCAAGGTCATCCTCTGCTACACAGGTTTCCTGGCCAACCTGAGCTACTTAAGACCCTGTCTCAAAATGCTAAAGACTATTTTTTGAATATTTCTTTAGAGAATGTTGCAATCTTGTAAAGCTGATTTTGAATTTTTTCATATAGAAGAAGACAACAGCAGGTGCTAATCTACATGGTGTTCCTTTAACTCAAATAGGTACATGGTTTTGTTTTACTGGGAGGAAATGTGTGATTTTTTTAAAAACACTGATGGGTTAAGTAGCTGCACCTTGCAAATCCTGTTTCTGTTAACATGTCAGCACATTACAGCACATTACAGGATGAGAACAGACCAGGGTTGGATGGGGTTTGGCACTCAGGTGAAGTACTGTGGAGTCTTTTCTAGAGGAAAGCTGGACTTGACCATTAACAAGGATAGCCTTAGGGTCTGGAGAGATGGCACAGCAGTTAAGAACAAGGATAGCCTTACTAGAACCAGGAAAGAGGCTTCTTCTTTCCCTCCTAGGTCACCAGAGCATGAAGATTTCCATAAGACTAGCATTACTTCAGTGACTGTGTGCTACTTGGGTCTGAGGCAGTTTTTTACTTGGTATGGAAACTGAGGTGATTGTGCTACCATGGCTGGTCTTGCTTTTTCACTCACCATCAGGTTGGTCAGAATTAGTATTCTGGCTGGTCTGCTTCTCTCCTCTGTTAGGGGGTTGCACAGGAAAGAAAATCTGAGGGTTTCTAAGACTGCTATAAACATGGAGTATGGGCACTGGGCTGGGCATGATTCAGAAATAGTTTTTCTGTTATTGGTGTTAGCTGTGGCGTTTGTGTGGAATGGCAGTTCTCCAGAACCTAGCTCCCACTGTGTCCTCGGGTACAGCAGTTTAGGAGCAGGATTTTTGTTTGAAGTTCCAGAGGACACTTGCCATCAAGTGGGTTTGCATTAGTGTTTGCTTTGCTTCCATACACATGTAGCTCTGGTTCCTCTCAGGTATACTTCCTGAGAAGGCCTGTTAAGGAGCTGAGCTGGGAGAAGCAGCCTTCTTCGGGATCCTCAGTCAAGAGACTGACTGAGCCCCAGGATGGACCATAGACTAGCCACATCACTGGCAAACTCAGCAGCTCCAAAGCCCATCCTGCAGTTTTACTTCATTTTCAGCCACTTACAGGGAGAGGGTCACCTTCTGCTACAGATTAAACAAGTTCAGGGAACATTCTGCTTTATACCCCTTGGCTTATTCAAGTCAGTAATGAACTCTCCTGCTTGCCTCAGTAGTAAAAAGTCACCTTCCCAACCCATCCCTCGGATACCTTTTTAAATTATCATTAATTTAAATGGCTTATACTTGTTTCTTAAAAGCAAGTAATGTTGGTTTCAAATTTTTAAGTACAAGCTTTTTTATGTTTGAATAATAGCTATCACTTCTTACGGAGCACCCTCTTATCGCTGACCCATCTAGAAACACTCTTGAGTTTTGAAAGGGTGATAAAATTTACATGAGCGAGAGTGAATTTCTTTCAAAAAGATCCTGAGGACTTGGTTCCTCAGAAGTTCAAAGAAACAGTGGAGTTGCATCAGCTGGCTCCTCCTAAGATGTATATGTAGAAGGCAGGTCCTGAGACAACGTGTGCATGTCTACAGAAATGCACACCCCTTTAAAAAAATGTTAATCCACTTTATGAACTAATGATTCCCTAACTTGCGGTTTTCTTTTTGTTTTGTTGGGTTTTTTTTTTTAGATTTTACAAAATTCTATCCTCTTTAAAATGTACTATATGTGTTATATGTATATATAAGTTAAAGTGACTTGAGCTAGGTATCATTATTGGTAGCACAGAGAATATGGAACAGCAGATGGCTGTCACTATCCGAGAGCAGAGTACAGAAAATAGTTTTGGTTCTTCATCAGTTAATGCTCAGGTGTTTGAGCAACAGCCCAGCTAGCCTTGGTAAATGCAGCAAGCCACCCAAGCAGAGGTCAGGAGTACCTTGACCCCGTGTTTCAGGACACATTTTCATTTTTTATTAAATGTCCTCATTGTTCCCTAGGAGGTCTTGGAACTAAAAATCAGACTGAACTGTTGGTGCAGCGACATTTCCACAGCTGTGTTTTAGGGGTTTCTATCCTCTGTGTGTGGTCAAGCTTCTGAATATAAACAGCATGGATATGTCATTTCTAGACCCTCAAGGAAATTATCAATTTCTAGTTCACTAGAAGGTTAAATGCTAATTATTTCAATGACTGCCATCCTGCAGAAAAGCTGAAATAAGTAGTAAAGGTTGAATTTTGACTGGTGCTTAGATATTTCTAGCTATATTAGGATCAACTCAAGCAAACAGCAGCGTATTTACCTGAGTCACACCTGTGAGGAATTTATTTTCCAAATTTGATTTTGTTTTTCATCTCCAGGGCCTTAATAAGAGTGTGTTAATACACATGACTATTTTACAAAGATAGTTCAAAATAATTTATTTTTATTTCAAGAAAGAGAAATCCACCTTAGAAATACAAAACCCAAGATTTTATTTTATTTTTAAAGCCATATTTTTGTGCTTTGTAGCACTTAGATTGTTCCATATGTGATCCATATCTGCATTTCATTACCTGGGTTCTAAAAAAGATTTATTTTTGTTCTGTGAATAATTTTTGACAGTTCTTGTACATGTACAGATATAGATACGTTTGAGGTCTTTTATTGATATTCCTACAAAATGCAAATAAACTTTAACTTTAAACATTTCAGACTGAAGTTGCAACTCTGTCTGCAGTACTGCTTATATTATCCATGCATCCATGTTGTGTGCTGTCTTCTAGCATCTTCTGGGTACACTGAGACATTACTCTGAAGATATATTTTAGCATTAGGAAATCACGCCTTAAAATTGTACAATTTATAGGTAAATTAGGTGCAGAACAAATAAGTGGCACTGATAACAATTGTGTTATGTTGACTCCTTTAGAAAGAAAGCTTCCTCCAGCTGTCCTAAGCCACTGTGGTCCTCTCAGATTACCCACACAGTTAGTTCTTAGAGTTTTTCCTGTTTGGGTCAGAGGGTGGATCCTTGTTTATCATTCTCAAGGTGTCCTATCTTCAGCTTCTCTATCTTACTCTGTAAAAATCAAGAATGCTGTTCTCACATATCATTTTCTTTTGTGCTACATATAGGTCTGTGCGTCCTGGAATACTTCAGGTTATTTCTAATCTTGGGCTTCTAGGAATTAAAAAAAAAACTAAAGGCTACCCAAAAGACTGCTTAAAAAGGAAAATGAAAATTAGCAGATGTTTGCTATTTTTTGTTCTCTTCAAAACCGATCCATTTCAATGTGAATTCCTCATGACCTAGTACAAACTTCAAGACTTCTTGGATCTGGAATATTAAAAGAGAGAAGTAAGGCTAAAGATAAGTTATGACCCTGTGGCTCACTTAGCTCTAAGTAACTAACATATACACTCTTTATGTACATCCATACCATTGCTTTCTTAGCCTTCCTTCACCTGAGTGCATCTTGTCAATAGCGCCAAAGTACTTAATGGTTCTCAATCTTTACTGAGCATTACACTTTTGTATAAATTTAAACATATACATATTCATGCATATATATGTATACACACATACATACATATATGCACATACACACACACATAGAGAGAGAGAGAGAGAGAGAGAGAGAGAGAGAGAGAGAGAGAGAGATGAATGACTGCCTCCTGAACTCCATTACTCCACATTGCCCTCTGAACAGTATGTGGGGTATCTGTAGCAGTGTCTTTTATCACCGTTTTGAGACTTGAATGAATTAGCTACAGGTCTTTCCTTACTTTATACTTGTAATTTTAAATGCTGTTAAATCCCCATGCATACCTTGTCCTTATCAACTCATTCCTTTTATAACTAGGAAGTCTGTGGCATGCTCATCTCATGAAGTTCTTGGTTTTGTGTTGGTTTTCTTTTCCATAGTGTGAGAGGCCAAACCCACGGCCTCAGATCATCTGCCTTGTGGAACAAATTCATTCTGAGGAAACTAAGCAAGACGTGGGACTTAACCAATATAAACCCAATTTTCTCACTGACTCCAGTTTGATGCATAAGATAGATGCTTCTATTTTACTATTAAAAGTTTCAATCACTATTCCTCCAGAAAGCACATAAAGGCCCAGGCCAGGACCAAAGAAAATACCTCTGACCTTAAGCAATAAACAAAAAGTAGGAAACTCAAAATTGTTTTCTTCCCAAGTCCTTTGTAGCATTTTGGTTTTATTACTTGAAATTTTGCTGAGAAGCTCGTCAAGTGCTGAATTGCATCATTTGCACTTGTTCTTTCAGTAACAAATACATCAGTGTCTCCCAGTTCCCCTCCCTACCATTAGCCAGCATGTACATGAACTTGCAAAACCACACAACACCAAGTGTTCTTTCTAGAAACTTGATTTTGTAAAATTATAAAATGGATTACCTTTGGGCCTTTGAATAAAAGGCAGAGAGCTGCTAAATAAATGCCAATGTGTCTTCTTACCTGTAAAGTTATGATTTAAGATAGATAGATAGATAGATAGATAGATAGATAGATAGATAGATAGATATCTCGGAATGGATGATCTAGAGGCGATTTTAGCCCCTGAGAAACGTTTTCTCGGGCTGTGTTCAGTAATCAGTTTAATTATTATAGTGATAATGCTAATAACAGCTAATATTGACCACCGAGACATCTTCCTGGTTCCAACTTTCTTAATACATTGACTTTGACAGTACTGCTTTGCATTATTGTCATCTGAATTATCACAATTCAAAAGGTTAGACGTCTCACCTCACTCAAAAACTGGTCTTTCATCTCTTCTGGATCCTTTAGTGTTGAGATGGTAAAATCTGCTTTCAAGACTCCAAAGGAGTACTCTGGAAGAGAAAAATGTTTCCTGCTTTAGAAGAATGTCACCCATTGCCATTTGAACTTTCCATTTCTCAGTAGTTAGGGGTACACATTGGGTATCATGGGTGCTACATGGTGATAGAGGATTTCAAAGAGAAAAAGAGGGAAATGCTGAGCCACAATTAAACAGCACCAACCAGTGCCCTCAGAAGAAATGCCTCTGTTTTAGATCAGTATCAGCTCTCTTCCCACAGTGTAGACACCATCTCTTCTCTTCCCTTTTCTTAAACTACAATACAGATGTTCTTGGCCATGCTGGAATTTCACCTTCCCTTAGGCTCTCTTCCCAGAAAACCCCAAAGAAATTCTCTGAATCAATGGATAAAATTCAGTCTGTGCTACATGTCAACCATAATCTGTGGTGATAATTTCTTTATGATCTAGCAAATAAAGCTTACCTGAAGATCAATCAGAGTCCAAAGCTAGTCATACTAGTCAGCCATACAGGCCAGGCAGTGGTGGCACACACCTATAATCCCAGCAGCCACACTGGTTAGCCATAGAAGCTGGGCAGTGGTGGTGCATGCCTTTAATCCAATGCTAGAGAAGAATGTAAAACAGGAGGAAACAGGAATGTAGTATCCAGTCTGCAATCAGCAGTCCTGCTGAGGACAGGATCACCCCTTTTGGTCTGTGCCTTGGTAAAGGTAAGAACTCTACTGTCTAGCTGCTTTGCTTCTCTGATCTTTCAGCCCCCATCCCAATATCTGTCTCTGGGTTTTTATTATTCATGCTACAATAATCATCACAAAAACTACAGCTTCACGGTAGGCCATGTATTTACAGAGCTTTTGACAGTTTACAATGCTCCTTTGCCTAAGTACCTATGAGATAAAGTAGTGTGTACTGAGCCCCCTTTTGAAGATGAGAAAAACTACAAAAGTGAGGACACTTGCTTCCCTCGCCACACTTGCTATAATCACACAGTTTAAACTAGAATCCACATCTTCCTTCCTAACCCATTGCCAACATTTCATGTTATCTTTCCTAAGAAGACCCCCAAGTATCCTGGCCTAGGTGTGACTGTAGATTTTTTTAAGCACTAGGCTGTTAGATGGTGAAGTTAGCAAATAGAAGCATGTAAAAGGAGTTCTTAATTGGTCTAGATAATAAAAGGCCTGAGTCAGATATAGAGGGAAATGCTGAGAGATCAGAGAGAAGGAGCATGCCACAGCACACCTTACCTCCTAAGCATCTCTGCAGAGAAGAGCAATTTCCTATTTGTCCCTGCTTATATCCTGTTACTGCCCAGCTACGTCGCTTCCTGCCTGTCTGTACAGACTTCCAGACCTCTATGGTTAGCTAGTGGCAGTTTCTACCCAGCTATGTCACTTCCTGTCTGTCTGTACAGACCTCTGTGGTTAGCTAGTGGCAAGCTCCCTTCTCTGACCCCCCCAGAAAGGCTTTATTTTTGCAAGAAAGATACTACCACATATCCCCTTTTTATCTAAAAAATTAAAAAAGTTATAACCAATGAGAAAAACTAGAATAAGAACAGTAATTATATACAATACATATATGACGATAAGTACAATGTCTAGTCCATAAGCATATGACAAATTCCAAGAAAACATTCCATCTATCCTTTCTTGATGAGACCAAAGTCTTGTACCTAATTTACTTTCTATTCTAATATGCATATCAAAGTATCTTTTATATCTTTTAAACCTATTACATTTAATACATCTATAGTGAGTTTCTTTACTAATTCTGATAAACAGGGAAAACTAATTATACTATTTAGTCTTCAACTCCCTCAGAGACCCAAAAAGGAAATAATATTAGCTGAGTAAACAGGAAGTATGGCAAGTGACTTCCAAAGAATATGAGAAATGACAGAAACAGCTGGCTGCCTGGACAGTCACCCAAGATTGTTCTGCAACATTGGGGCATCCATCTTTGGCCTATAGGCCTAGCATATCTGACAGACATTTCTATGAACCAGGATAATCTGAAGGACTGGACTGCCTTGTCTTGGCAAGATTTGCAGTCACTCTTTTTGGTTCCTGTTTGTCCAATTTGGGCAGCAAACTGTCAGTTGAGGCAAGGACGCTTTCTTGTCTAGTGGCTTACATTTACCACAGTGAACTCAAACTCCATGTGGAGTTTCTTCGATGCCCATCTTCTTCTCTGACATGGATTGGTGCTGCCAGGAGCAGACATGTCTCATAGTCATAATAAAGGACCTATGCCTATGTTATTAAAACATGTTAAATACCATATTCTGTAATCTCTGAAGTGTTTGAAAATGACCTGTCTTTCTAATATATCAGTTTGTTAAAAACATACCTAAAGTGACTACAAGTTCAATTATTATAGTTGACTAATTACTAAATTACATTTCCTAATCGTCTTATATAGTTGTTGATAATAACTTTCAAAGACTAGAAATTTGTATTACATAGTTAAATGAGCTGTATAAGATACAATACCTAGAATATTACAAACATAGCAAAATTAATCTCAAGTTTGTATCAGTATACAACATTTGTATACAATATACAGAAGTCCAATACAATATAAAATGTTTAAAGCAAGTAGTTGCTTTTTAGGGGTAGATACAATAATCTACCTTTTCATCTCAATATCTCCATATCCTCCCTTTATTCTTTTTCAGAGTGGATTCAGTAATTTACCCTTTTTATCTTATCATATCTGGATTCCTCTTTTTAACAAAAACCTTGAATATAATTCCCTTTGTTCTCCTTTCTTCCTGATAATAAACAGCAATATTTTATAACCAATCCCCTTAAACAATGACATATCCATAACCCAAAGAGTGACCAAAAACCACCCACCCCACCATTTGGGAATGTGGGCGCCATTTTCTTAAAGTTACTTCCTGCTGTCTGTGGGCGATGACATCTATGGTTAGCTAGTGGCAGTTTCTTCTCAGCTACGTCACTTCCTGTGTGTCTGTACAGACCTCCAGACCTCTATGGTTAGCTAATGGCAAGTTGCATTCTCTGACCCCCAGACAGGCTTTATTTGTGCAAGAAGGATTTACAGAATGCAAATGGGAGCCCATATGTATCAAAGATTTAAAAGGTATTAAGGAAGCAGAAGGCCGGGTGGTGGTGGTGCATGCCTGTAGTCCCAGCACTCGGGAGGTAGAGGCAGGCAGATCTCTGTGAGTTCAAGACCAGCCTGGTCTACAAGAGCTAGTTCCAGGACAGCCTCCAAAGCCACAGAGAAACCCTGTCTGGAAAAACAAAAACAAACAAAAAGGAAACAGTAGTTTCTTATCCATGCATTCACCAATGTGAAGCAGTTAGTAAAGTCATGGGCTACAAGAAATAGAATAACTCCAAATGATTGGCTTCAGTTAATCTCAGCTGTTCTAGAAATGAGTCCACAGCTGCAATGGAATTCATATTGGAGAGAGGTCAAAGCTCTGTAACATCAAGACAGAATTAAAGGTTATGAGGCTTCCCAAGATGAAATTCTTGGCGAGGGTCCATATGCAGATGCAAATACTCAAGCTCCATTCTCTGACCCTCAAACAGGATTTATTTGTGCAAGAAAGGTATCACCACAGAAGCAGTTACCTGAATTTGCTACTGGTTTCTCTTTAGACTCTGGGTGCTTAGGTGAGCTTACATGTTGGGCCTGGGTGGCAGTAGCTGCTTCTCCTCTCTGTGTGCCATCCTTCATGGTAGCTGCAGTTACAGGGAAGGAAGAATAAAGGAGTTACTGTAAATGTAGCCAGAAGTCAAGGGGTCTGATACTGGTGACTGGTTGTGAGCCAGAAGACAGGCAAAGGCAGCTGTGCTGTGCAGTTGCTTGTTCCTGCCAGTCTTTCTTTCACTTGCCCCCAGGCTCTTATCCCCCATCTCTGGAGTTGCCATACCACTATTGAGAAAGTGCTTCAGCATCAGGCTGTGTGAGGCTTGAACAACAGCATGAAGTTCAGCCTCAGTTCCAGTTTATTTTCTTTCAGTAGCATTTAGCCCAGGAAACCCAGTGCTCTGATATTACCAGGTGAGCTGCGCAACCCCTCTCCATGGTATCCAGAGCAGCCTTGACATCTCCATCAAGGCAGTACCCCAAACCAGGCTTAACTTCTGGGCATACAATAGGCACTCAGCCAGAGACTAGGAGTCCTCAGTTGCTGTCCCCTTCAGTCCCCAAGTCTTGTGTTTCTCCTTTTTCTACAATTGCCCCACCTACAAATATGGATATAACCATATTATTTAGAGGTCTGCTACTATAAATTAAGAAAAATGTCTCAGCCCTAGAAAACAACATCAACAATTTGCTAGAGAATAGCTTTCACGGGTTCAATTCTGGTATTACAGTCTACAGTATTGCTCATGTCTGTTCTTCCCACATTCTCATTATTACTGCCTTTGAATCTTTGTCAGACCTTTGTTAGGTGAAGAAATAAATTTTAAAATGAGACTTAAGTTCATTTTTAAAGTTGTATTTATTTCTGTGGTTTTGTGAACAAAACTGCGTTCTTTCAATGTGTTGGTGTTTCTTGACTAGTGTCACTGATGACTAATGTAGAGCTAGTCTTCCTGTCCCTCCTCACTTCAGACTGCCCCCGCTTACTCACCTGGGCTCTTCTCTCTTGATGGGCCGCCTTCTCCACCAGCCCTCTCCTCCAAGGGCGTATACATCTCTTTAATAGGTGAAGAGATTGGAAGACTCAGAAATACAGAAGCAGGGGAATGACGGTAAGCACAGTTTTATAAATTTCCTCCAGATCACTTTTAAACCTTTACTTGATGTTTCTCTCACTGTTGAGACTGTTACACATTTACTGAATTCTGCTGTATGTTTTCTTTTAGCATCCTAATGCAATGGCCCCGTGTCACTGTGACCATCTCTAGTAACTACAGATCTGAACATTTGCTAATTTTCCTAAACTCTGTGGCAGCTCTGTTGACTGCAGGTTCAAGTCCTTCAGAATTTGGCCGCAGTCCCTCATCCCTGTTACGCCTTCCTGCAAAAAAAAACCACATCAGACCACTTGGCAATCCCTGCCAAACAATACTGTGACAGGTCTATCTTGACCCATGCTGTTCTTTCAGCAAGGAAGAACTTCCGAATTTTGCTGCCATGATACTGATTACGCCTTTGTCCAGAAAAGGAGTTGCTTTCTGCTCTTGGTTCATGCTTCACACGCTCACAAGCTGTCCCAATTGTCTGTATCTGTCTCTAGGATTGCCTTTGTCTATAAGCAGGAGGCAAGTCCTGCTTACCCTGGTTGAGATACACAGTATCCACAGTTCAAGGCAGGTACTCAAAAGGGGGTAGTTGCATAGTCAGGGCTCAAAGCAAGAAGAAAAGGAAGTACAAACAGCCCCTATCTGGGAGAATCTGCAATACTCACAATTCATAGATGATCATCTGTGATCATGTGTAATGACATGAGAATGAGCCTTGCATATCTACTAAGTCAGGACACTAAATGTCACTAGTGAGTTGAGATTAAGATGGTAGTAATTGTGTTTACCATCTGCCAGAACCAGGAATTGAGAGGTACCATATCACACTGATGTGTTCTTGGTTTTAGAAATGAGAAAAAGGATTCAATGGGGTTAAAGTTATGGAGACAGATGTAGTTCATTCATTTCTTCAATCCCAGCAGTTTGGAGGTTGAGACAGGAAGATTGCAGTGAGTTGGAGGCCATCCTGAAATATAAAGTGAAACCTGATCTCAAAAGAAAGAGAAGGGGAGACAAGAGCTAGGGAAGGGAGGGAGGGAAAAATGGTTGTCTAAGTTGTGCACAGTAAATTACAGAGCCAACATCCTAATCTTGACTGACAGACTTCAGCTCTTAAAGGTGCATTCTCCTAAATCTTCCTGCCCTACTCCATCTCTGTCCTACCTGGTCAAGGGAGGATGGGCTTATGAGCTGATGCAGATCAGACAGACTTCCCTGGGGAGATGCTTACAGTGCTTCCCTGCCTAGCCATGTGACTTCTACCCTCAGCTCTAACATTTGGACTAAAGGGTCTGGCTCCTGATGCTCCAGAGGAACGTGCAGGCAGGGGCGCTCTGTCCCAGGGAAGCATATGAGCACCTGTAGTAGTAACTTCCTGGTTGGCTCCCAGCTGTCTCGGTGCTGGCAAACTGACTCCAGGCTGCAGAAGCATGGGGCCCACCTCCTTGGATCTCAGATCTCTAAGGCTCCCTGAGACAGATGCCTCCATAGCTCATTCTTTGGTATCTGCAAAGCCCCTCAGAGCCTCTAAGCTGTAAGGCTAAGCTAAATGAGAAGAACTCAGAGGATATTGCCAACATGGGAAAAGATGAAATATTATGGGTGGAGCTGAGGCAGAGCCTCGTGGCTACCTTCCTCTGAGTTTCAGGGATCCCTGGTGCATAGGTTCAGCAATACCGTTGGCAATAATAACTTGGGGGGCCCAGGGCATTTCCTGGTTAACTGACCACTCCCATGAGACACAGAACCAGTATGGCTAGTGTCAAAGAGTGCAAGATCCAAAGGTAAGCATTGAATAATTGCCATGCCATGGCCCTTCCCGAAGAACTGTCTGGGGATACAAAATCCAAGGATATGGTTCTGGCAGTGACCGGTGATGTTATGGACTTTTCCAGAACTAAGTTACTTCCCAAGGTCTAAGGACAAACTCAGAGAAGTTAGCAGTAGTGTTCTGGGCCCGTCTTCCAGACCAAACTGCTTCCTGGGTGCTCAGGGTCCAAAGACAGCCTCTAAGCAGTGACCAGTGGGCTGTGAGCCCTTCTCAAACCAGGGTACCTCCTGAAGGTGCTGATGTCACCAGAGGACTTAGTGAAACCGTCCCTTGAGGTTGGAGAGCTGTGAGGCCCATGGTGGTGGGAACAGGGGTAGTGGTATCACAGATGCCGAAACCACAGGCGTCGGAGCTGCCCCCAATCGCTTCATGACTCACTTGCTGCCGGATCCAGGTTGCTGAAACCAGCGTTTGCAAGGCATTTTGGGGGCCAGTTCTGGTCCCTGTGGCAAAAGACAAGACTTATGTGGGGGTTACTGGGCACAGGACCTTTTTTACAGCCCTAGCTACAGATCGGGAACTTCTAGTAACCCCTGTGGGGCAGGTCAGAGAGAAGATCATAGCTTCGGGCGCTGATTGTCTGTCACACCTGGGTATTTGCCCAGTGAAATCACAGTTGACCAGAGGGCCTTCTGAACCCATTTGGGCCAGCCCACGTAAGCAGTGGGCCTGGGACAACTGGGTGGATGGATACCTTAACAGGGAAGCAGAAGGAAGTTTCTCCACCCAGATCTTAACCAAGAGGATCCACGCCTCCACCAGCTCCCCAGTGATGGCATCTCCACACAAGCACCCTGCAGTTCCTCTTTGCAGCCATCTCCTACCCAGCCACCTGATGACCTCATCCTTCTTACTTCACTCCAACAAAAATTCTTCTGCTATTACAGCGACTGGATGGCTCCTGATCTCTGTGTCTGTCCCCATCATGCCTCAGACTATACTAAATACCAGCCTTTACCTGGCTGATTATGAGCTCCATCAGAATGAACCCTGCCTTTGCTCGGGGATTTTCTTGATGTATCTGTCCCCATTGTTGGGTCTTGGTCAACTGCCTTAACTTATAACCACATCACAAAACCCCAACAGTTCATGCCCCTCCTCCAGCAGAGGAGATGCTCTCAGAAGGGACTGATGAATCTCCATTGTTTTGCTTCCTTTCTCTGGGTGCTGAACCTCCAAAGCTTCTCTGGTGACTGTTTCCCAAGATCACCACACAGCCATTCCTCTCTTTGTGTCCCAAGACGTTAGTTCTTCATGTGAGAGACTGCACAGCCTCTCTTGGGCCTCCTGGCCCTAGAGCTTCAAGGTCAGAAGGCCACAAAGAAGGATGTTTGTGGTAAACCTATTCCTCATTTCCCTACCCTTGGCTAGTCAAGCAGTATGAGGAAGAGGAGAAGAGAGCCTCATTGGTGTAAGTAGTAATTGTTTGCCACACATTGGCATGCCTCATCTCTGTCTACTCACTAGCACTTCTGGGAAGGCCATTCACATGGGCCCCACCCTGGGTTACTGTGTATAGATCAACCATTTTCTCTAGTTTCTGGGACCCAGAAGGCCTAGATATAGCCAAGAACAGACTCAGAATACCTGTGTTTGGCCTAGAGGTTGTCCTTGTAGTAACTTCTGAGGGGTGAGTCACTTTGGGGGAGGAAGTATCAGTGAGTAGAGGCATCTCTGCTAACTTCCGATGGCCAATGGAGGGGTCTGTGAGAAAACAATGCGTGTAAGCATGCCAACCCTGTGAGCAGTCACAACAGATCCTGCCAGTCAGCCTCTGTCATAGTGAACAAGCTAGGGGGGCCCAGTTACTGCACACGGTGTACAAATCACTGAGATAGGTCCTCTCACCTTTAATCTTCACAACACCTCATTAAGGAATACTTATTGGTTTTGCAGATAGGAGCCAAGATTGTCTTCAAATCCAAAACAAAAGAAATGGCCACAAATAGGCAAATCCACAAGACATAAAGTCTATTTTGGTTGCCAGGGGAAAAGTAGGACATGGCTGAGTAAGGACTTCTGAGGGTGATGAAAATGTCATTAAATTGAACAAGCATGCAAATGTTAAAAACCACTGAATTTTTAATCCCAGCACTTGGGAGGCAGAGGCAGGCGGATCGCTGTGAGTTCGAGGCTGGGCTGGACCGACAGCCTCCAAAACAATACAGAGAAACCCTGTCTCGTAAAACCAAAAAAAAAAAAAAAAAAACCCACTGAATTGTCTCCATTAAAAGGTTGTCTTAAGGTATGTGGATTCTCTCTCAATAAAAGTACACCTGAAGGAGGGAGGCTGGAAGCAAAAGGCAAGATGGGAGGCCTGTCACTAAGGAGGAACATTATACACAAGATCCTTCATTCACAGTGACCACAGCTGCTATGAGCGGGCACTTGCTCTATGTCAAGATCTCCACTGTTGTTTAGCCTTCAGCCTCCCTGTGGAGTGGATGTACTCAGTCTCAATTTGTAAAGTATGTTTCCCAGATGAGGAAACGAGAATAATTCTGCCTGTCTTCTAGGAAGTGGGAAAGTCTGTCTGACTCTACAGCACAGGCGCCTGGGTATTTGTCTGATCACCAATTGTGGTTGCTGATTGCTAATGTAGTAAGGCTGGATGGGGTTTTCTCCACCCTCTGAAGATCCCCAGGACTTAGGTACTGCAACTCCATCATAAAGTTGTTTTTTTTTTAGTCTCAAATAAAAAGCCTGTTGTAAAATTCTTTTACCCTCAAAGCCTCCAAGTACACGCTTAGACTAGCTCAAGTATCCCCACTGTCAAAACCTCAGTTTAACCTCGATGAGCCAAGTGGGCTCTCACATACCCCAGAAACAGATAAAAGGTTTCAGCTCATGGCAAAATAGTGTATAAATCTGAGGTGGGGCATTCGAAAAGATACGGAGTCCTGCACATAGTCCTTGACCAAACACGGGTATTTTCTGAAGCCATTCGGGGATGCTGGAACCCAAGTTGCTAGACCAGGTCAGATTGTTGGTCTTCACATTGAAGTAGAGGCCAATCCAGGCGTCGACATCATTTGTGATATAATGGAGGGTTTCTATGCCCTCCTTGTCAGTCACTTTCTGCAAATCAGCCAGGTCTGTATAGTGGTTGCGACAGTAGATCAGAGCTGAGAGCCATGACATGGTTTGTTTAATCCGAATGAAGGTCTGTTCACCAATCTTGACCTCAGCTGGAAGCAGAGAATACAGAGACCACAGGCCTTAGATGCAGGGTGTCTGCCATCTCAACCTTCATTGCCTAAAGAACTGGTTTGACTCTGGATCCTCAGGTTTTAGCTTTGGTCTAAACCACCATTTTGTAAGGAAACTACCAAGTTGTAGAATGAGTGAGATATCGTAACAACAGCTGGTATGGAGGGATCCAGCTAAATTATTTTACAAGTTAAATTTAAATTTTAATTGTTTAATCTGTCCAATAAGAGTAATAATAGCTAAGTTCAGAATTACATAAAACCACTCATTAGCACTTAATAAAATGGTAGACATTATTTAGGAAATGGTAGTAGATCATTCCTATGATGGAAGTAAGACAGTCTTGGTTTAGAGTTAGCCTCATTTGTAATTCAACAGAGAGAGAGAGAGAGAGAGAGAGAGAGAGAGAGAGAGAGAGAGAGAGAGAGAGAGAGAGAGAGAGATCTTAGGAGCCAACCACATCAGCTCAGGTCTGGTGGGCAGGAAGCAGAGCAGGCTGTGCCCAGCAGATTTGCTACTCCTCATGAGCTCAGACAAATAAAAATGACTGCCTCTCTGCTCCAGGCTGAATTGTTTCAGGTCCCAGAAGCAACCCCTACCCCACCAGAGGCCACTTCAAGCCCATGCCTCTCTGACTCCTAGCAAGGGAAGTTTGGGGAAGGATGTGAGACTCTGGCTCTGCCTGCAGTGGTTCTGGAGAGGTTTGGATAAAGAAAAGACTATTTGCAGACTCTGGAGTCATATCCTCCTATTCAAACACAAGCCCCTCCCTACTCTCTGGCATGCACCTGCTCATCTCAGCTCATTAAGACATGCCTGTTTCCCTAGCTAAATGGAGTTTTCATATGTAATTATTGTGTGTATGTGCACTTGTGCATGACACAGCACACACATGAAGGTCAGAAGATAACCTGCAGAAATCAGTCCTCTCCTTTCACTATGTGTGTCTCAGGGATTGAACTCAGGTCATCAGGCTTGAGAGAAAATACCTTAACCCACTGGCTGAGTCATCTCACCAACCCCAAAACTAATCTTTTAAATTGTCTATATTATGCCCCTAGCACGTGCCAGCCTTGGCCTATGCCACGTCTTGATGTTCACCATCACCCTGAAAAGTAGCTATTATTAATCTCGTTTCATAGCTTAGGTAAAAGAGGTTGAAAGTCCACCCCACGGTTGATAGTCTCAGTGCCTTTGCCATTTCGTTCTATATTGCACAATACACGGAGAATGAACCCTAAACATAGATGGATTGACTATTCCTTTTCTCATAGAATTTTTCTATATCAGATGAGAAGAAACTTTCCTCTTAAACACCAGCACAGTGTTGTCCAAGTGGCAGGAATCTTGAGAGAAATATCCCTCTCTAGACGAGGACAAGGACCTTAGTTGTGAAGATGTCCAACCCACTCATCCCACAAACCCTGACTCCCAGAGGAAGACTTAGGTGGCAGGGTTGCAACTGGTTACACCCTGCTGTGACACCTGGAGCTTGTCACCTTCCCCTCTGTGCTCTTCAGGCATTGCTGTCATCAGTCTGGGTATCCCAAGTCCAAACATCAAGTTAGGTGGGAGAGGGGGAAGCAGAGAGGCCCATACTGATCCATATCCTGTGTGCTGGTCCAGGGAGATGACTCCAAGGCAAAGTAAGTCAAGATCCCAGAAAAGGGAAGATAGAGCCACGTATCTTACCTTCCTTTGGAAGAGTGGTCAGTTCTTCAAGAGGGGACACCAAGGAGACAAGGTCTGTAAAACAGAAGCAGACTTCAAATTATGGGATAGAGTGAGAACTACCCAGGAGCCACCAGGTTGGAGCCAGAAGAAGCTGAGTCCTATGGTGAGCTGGCCATTCCATATTTATTCAGTAAATATAGATTAAGCACCTATTGTATACCTGGTGTTACTCCCTAGGAGAGTGGTAGAAATACACAATCTGAGTCTTTGCTTTTGAGGAGAAGATGAGAAGGAACCACCTAGTCCCAACAGAGTGAGGACAATGGCACACCATCCAACTGAGGAAAAGAGCTGCATGAATTGGGGAACAGAAATTAGTCAATACACCATGGCTAGAGATAGGGCTGAGCAATGAGGCCAACGAGACCAGTCAGGGCATGATTGTCTAGGAAAAGAATGGTATTCCGAGTGCTTTGAAGGGCGTATATTGTAAGGAAGTTATCCAATGTCTGTTAAAACTCACTGTTCAGACAACAGATGGTAGCGGCCACAGAGCAGACCTATGGAAGTGAGTGGGAATTTGGCCCATACACTCACAATGGACCTGCAGAACTGGGGAGAACTGAGTGATGTCAGAATGTGTTGTAGCTGAGTTCTAAGACAATGAAGGAAGCAGGAGGAAATCCATCGTGTGATTTTTGCAGGCATTCCTAGTGGGCCCACTGGCCAGTCCTGGAAATCTTGCGTTCCCTTGGAACCTAGAGTTAAAACCAAAGGCCATTGTGGGCTTCTATTTCAGGGCAAGCATGGTGTGGCTGTGGCTTAGGGAAATGGCAGATTGACCTCCATGCCTGTATCTGGGCTATCAGGGTGGCATAGAATTGTGCTGAGCCTTGGCTGGCCAAGAAAGGCAGAAGCTGGCCAGGGAACCGCAGTCCTGTTCACAACCACGCCTCCATGTGACCTCTCAGCACCAACAAGGCAAAGATGAGGGCAATGGTAGTAGTGGTGTGCTCCAAGGGGCAGATAGCACAGGTGGAACACAAAGATGGGGTGTTCCCCAGCAGCCAGCACCACGCTGCACTGATGGCAGATCCCCAGCAACAATGCCTGGAGTTGGTCCTGTCCACCACTTAGGAAGAACAACAGGTCTCATAGGGGTGAATGTTCTACTCTCTGCCACCCCCAGTAAGACAATAGACTGTACCCTGTGCTTCATGAGGCAAGACCTTAAATTCTGCTCTCATTTCTGTATATAATGGGCCCTCTAACCCGTCTTTCCCATTTCCTTCCTTGCTTAAAGCTTTCATTGGAAGATGGAAGGGATGTCCTGGAACATTCCAGATGTTATTTCCTCTATCCTTATTTACACCCAGTGTCTTGGTGTGGTCTAGGGAATAGAGTACAGAAAGACCACACACTAAGATCACAGAGGAAGGATGCTATTAAGAGGATGGGGGAGCATCCAGTCACCCTCAGATACACACACACATTCCTCTCTTCCTCTCCCCCTCCCCCAAAACAATCTTGAAAAAAAGAGAACAGGCCCAGAATATTAATCTGAACACACCATAATAGCAAATGAAGGGCTTCTTGGCTGTGCAGGAAGCAGCCCTCAGGGCAGGGACCATGACCAATGAATACAGAGTAGCACAGGTGCCATCCTGAAAGGCAGGCAGTACAGTCCTCATTGGAGTGGTAAAGACAGAACCACTAGACCAGCGCAGGCCAGAGATGTGTGCATCGTAGAAGGGGCCAATCCATGCCTGGGTACTGCTGGTGTAGGAGTAGACCACCATGATGTTCACTGGGCTGTTCAGGCTCTGCAGGTCGGCGAGGTCTGTGTAATGCTCTTGGCAGTACCACATGGCCTCTCTCCAGGTCCGCGGTTCATCCACCCGATAGAAGGTCTTGCTGCTGCTTACCAGCTGAAGGGCTGGGGCAGGAGAAGCTGTCACTACATGACTACCCCCGCTTCCCCTTTGTCCCCAAGAGGTTTCAGCCATGCCACAATAGACTTCTTTTCCAGCATACCCCTCACCTTTGACCTCCACTCATAGCCAGCTCTGTCTCTGGATCTTTCCACGAGCTACTGTCTTGGTTCAGAAGGACTAGCCATGCTAGTTCCCTATTCTTTCATTTCTTACCTTCCTTCCTTTGCCTGGGGGTTAATAGCAATCACCAGTGTTCGTTGTGAGTGTGTTACATGCCACTTAGCTCACTGAATTTTTCTGAGGACTACTTAAGATTTCATTATTTCTCTTTTACAGATAAGGACTCCAAGTCACAGAGAGCTGAATAGATGACTAAGGCCTTTAGGTGAGAAGTAGAGAGAGCTAAGACTCCAGAATAAGGTGTGTGGTTCCTAGGTCCAAACCTTTAATCACAGCATAGTACTGGGTCTACATCAGGAACTCTAACTGGGTTATACAACAGGTTCACCCAGAGAGTGATTCAGGTATGTTCTATCATTGAACAGGGACATGCTTCCTGGGACCAGCATCAGAATTCTTCAGATGCTTCTAGAGAAAGGGCGTATTCTACTTGTATGTCTCCACCAGGTCTAGACAACTTGGAAGGCAAGGCTTGCCTTATTCGCCATTACATTCCCAGTCCCCCTAGATGCACCAAAAGCACTCAGTGTGTTGAAGGAAAGTGGGGAGATAGAGACAGGTGAGAGGCAGGAAGTTTCTGCCAGGAACCCACCAGAACGCTAATATTCCAGTGTACCCTTTCCTTCCCTCCATGACTCCAGTCACTTTCCCGGTTCTAACAAATAGGCTACACAAGGCTCTCTACCCTGGTGCCAGGGCAGAATAGAAGGGAATGAAAGGCTTGCTGTTAAGGTCTTGGGGGTCCTAGAACACAGGCACTTGCTAGAAAGAACGAAGTTCTAGCACCCACCAGAGTTGATGAAGCTGCCTGTTGCTGGGAACCGCTGGAGAATCCCAAGAAAGAATGGAGAAAACCACATTTTTTCCTATTTTCTTTGACAGGATACATGATTCTCTTTGATTCTTTTAAATGCTACATTATTTAATTTTTAAATATGTCTTGCTGTGGCCCACTAAATTGTTTTTAGGAGCTAATGGATCACACCTGACAGTTAAAAAACAAGCAAAACAACTTGTCTGCCCTGTAGACTCGGGAATCTGTGGTATTCCCCTTCCATCCTTGAGCCAAGACCCTGGAATCACAGTTGGGCCACCCCATTCTGCTCGCCAACTACAGCAAGCCTCCTGGAACTCTCCACCTGTAGCTGTTCCTCTGCCTCTTGGACCCGGATTGTCATCCTCTTCAAGTGCAGTGGGTCATCCAGCTTCCATTGGGGGTGCTTCACATCTTGTGCTCAGTGATGGGAGCTCTAAAAGGGGGCCACCCTGCACTCATGGTTCCAGTCCCATGCTCAGTGAAGGGGCTTTCTAAGAGGGGCATGCACCATCCCATGCTTGGCACTGGCCTCAACCCAAGAAGCAAGCCCAGCCTCTGCAATGCACCAGCAGTTGGCCTAGAGATGGCCCGGCTGCCAGGGGCCTGGTCAGCTTCCTCTTGTGCTGTTCTCTCCTATTCAACCCACACCTCCCCTCCTCAGAGCAGCCCCACTACACCCCGAAGCCCCTCAAGGTGCCTCTCACCAGGACCTGCCCTCTGGACATACTGTTTTGGGCCACAGTTCTGTGCACAATGGGAGCTTTTGGAGATGGAGTAGAGCACCTCCCTCCCCAACCTTAAAATGGTGGTTGAAATCATTTATCTCTTTCCACTTTGTCTCCCAACCAGCCTAGAAATCTGAGGGCCTCTGGGGGTGAGTGGAGCAGTGTACCCCCCTCCGGGCCCAGGTGGGGCCTTACCTGTCATACTGAGGGACAGCAACAGCCACACAAGCAGCATGATGGTGACCTAATGAAACCTCCTGGAGCTGGTGGCCTCTGGAAAGGCAGAGCCTAGTGTGCTCACTTCTTTCTGGCTCTCTTCTCTTTCCTACCCAAACGGATGGATTTTCCTAAGCAAATCCGGAGTGCTTACTGTTTACCAGGATATAGCCTGAATAAAGATGGAAACATCCTTGTCTTAAACTTTGGCAAAAACACCACGGATCCTGCAACTAATAAGCAGAGGGGCAAGAAGGAGCCAGGTTAGTGGATCCGTAGGGTCTTTGGGTCCAGAGGAACTAGTGACATAGTAAAGGAGGGAAAGAGGAGACCGGGGAGAGAAGAGCTAGGCACCCACTCCACTGCCCACCTCACAGCAATCACCAGAGATTGTCATCATCTCTTTGAAATGTGCCTCTGAAATGACTTGATCAAAACAGCATTATAGGCAGTAACAGGGCAGCAGTTCAGGCTTAGATCACTGAAAAGCATGCAATGGGAAGATGTGGCCCACAAGTTCCACACGGGTAACATCAGAGCCCCACCCCACCCCAAGTCTAGCATCCGCATCCCAGTACAGCACAGCCTGGAGACAGAGGCACTTGCTCTGAAGAACCAAAGCCACTTGCTTGTGTTCTGTCTGTCCCATACCACCCCTGTTATCTCCAGACTTCTCTCTGTCCCTCCAAGGACCAGGATTTAAAAAAAATAAAGCCTGGAAGAGACCCCTTCCTGCCTCCTTCCTGCCTTTTGTAAAAGAAGCATAAACAGATGGCTGATGGACAAAGAGAAAGTGCAGTGTGGACTGTCAAAGCTTAAGCAATGATGTCTTGCCTCAGTGTATTCCGTCAGCGATGGTCTCTGGTGATTTCACACCAGCAGTAAAACTGACTAGTGTCAGGGTGTCCTTGGACCACTGTCTAATGAGAGGACGGACACCTTGGCCGTACTGATCTGGAAAACACTTGCCCTATCGCTCCGCTCACCTTTTAATTGTGCCATTCATGTGTCGTCAGTGAAGAGCACCAAGCACCAGGCTTCTCATGCCCAGAAAGAAGTGAAGTGAGGGTGTAAGGGCCTCTCTAGCATGTCCCAGGGGCAGCAGTGGCACTCCTTTAGGCCTGTGCTCCTTGACAACAGGGACTGAGACTCCATCTGCCAGGAAGACCTACGGGGCCAACCAGGAAAGCACAGCACTCAAGAATCCAGGCTGTCACTCTCTCCTTAGAGATCGGTGACAGTCATCCCTTAACAACCCAGTGTGTCTGTGTCTGAGTCACCCCTCTCTTCCAAAAGGAAACCATGCCCCACTGCCTAGCCTCAAATCTGCATTAGAACTAACTGGACCTGCTGTGGACTTTCGAAACCATCAAGCCCACCCCCCAGTGACACACCTCCTTCAACAAAGCCACACCTCCTAATCTTTCCCAAACAGTTCCACCAACGGGGGACCAAGGATTCAAACATATGAGACTATGGGGGCCATTTCCATCCAAACCACCACACTTTAGGGTGGAGTATTTTTTTATCACAGAAACTGAAATGAAACTAGAACAGTCACCAAATAGAAACTGACAGCACTTCCATAGGAAGTGTCCTTGTGGGTCCTGCACTTACAGGACTTACCAAAGAGCTACAGTTAGCAGGTGCATGCAGGTACCACCCTCGGCTGGTTTGACTGTCAGGAGGGCAGCAACCGAGGCTGGACTTCCAGCAGTGGTCAGAGCTGCTGGAGAGAGATGCTGACTAGGATGCAGCTGATACTGAGAGCTGCATCTGCTCTCCACTCACTCTGGCACCAAGGAAGTTTCTTCATGGTGGGACTGGGAGCCTAACAGATGCCAAATTCATTTCCAGCTCATCAAAGTGGATTTGGATGTATGATTCTTGGCTTCGTTAAGTCTGAACTACATCAGAGCAGCATTAAGTACATATTTTGGCATTAAGTACAAATGAAATTTGGAACCTATTGAATTAAAGCTCCAGAAAACCAGACAGCCTCTTTGTGAGCATTCTACCAATGCTTCCTGCCAAGAGAGGAAAAACCCCACAGCCTGCACAGAGCTAACCATATAACAAGGAGCAAACGTGGTTGGAACCACCTAATTATTTGCACTCAGACTCTCCCATTCACAGCTTGGTGACCTGGAGAGCCTCCTGGCTGACAGTACCCATGCTGGGACCTGATCTAGCTCCCTCTTCTCACTCCTCCTTTGGCCCTCTCTACAGTGGCACTCAGAAATTGCCGTTAGCTCCTCTGTCTGGAGTCACATGCAAATGTAAGCTCATCTCTCAAGACTCTGGTCTCTAAGCTCCTTACCCATCATCACCGTCACGGCTTTAAAAAAGATGCTCTCCATCCCAGTCCAGTCCCAGAACCCCTGCCAAGGGAATGAATGAGACTCACACCTTCTGGACAGGGCTTCACATCCACTCAGCCTTGAGATACCAAGGACTTTAATGGTAGAATGTTCTAGAGGACAGGATAATTCAGATATGAATGAAAGTCAGTGTCCAAACTGAGCAGACCGGAAGCCAGCCAGGGCCAGTATTCCTAGAAGGACTCTAGCACAGAATAACATGTGTTCTCTTTTCCTTGTACCTCACCGCAGCTCAAACTCTTGCTCTTCCCTTCTCCTGCCAAGTCAGAGACTGATGCAATGGAAGTGTCTGCACACCTTTCTCTAGTTGTACCTTCCCCCTTACGTTCCAGTTTCCTTCCGGGAAGACTGAGGGTCTTGCTTGAACATATTATCACCCACAGCAAAGCCCACATAACTGCCACCACAGCGGGCTACCACCTTGTGCTCTGTGCTGCTTTCATGTATTCTATTACATCCTCCAACCCAGACGCTTTAGGGGAATCCCTGTACTTAGACGGCAGACCCATTCACCACAGAGGCAGTCCACCTCATGTAGAGCAAGGTGGGCCAGCCTGCGACTCTCCCCAAGGACACTCTACTCTTAGATGGCAGGCTTTGGTTATGTGTCTTCTCACCCCGTGTCAGGGGGCATGCAGCTGTCACACCATACCATACCACACGGGGGAAGGTAGCCTCCGTGAACACTGCCCCTCAGAGGGATCAGTTTCCATTCCATGCCCTGTCACCCAATAGCTGAGACCCTGCAAGCACTCCTGCCAGACTTCTGTTTGGTTCTGTTTAGGCACCAATTAACAAACATGTTTTCACCTCAGATGGGGCACTGATGACAAAACACTGCTACCCAAGTCTAGCTTGGTGAAATAGTGAGCTGTTGGAGTACTTACAGGAGTGTGGGGGAGAGTTTACTTCTAGGCACACAATGACTTAACAGCAGCTGCGTACTGAAAAGTCCATTTCAACATGGGGGTGACACAAAAGCCGTATCTGTGGAGATCTTTGCTAAGCTAGCAGGCTACTCTCCAGGAGTCCCTTTCCTCGGCATTATTAATATAACCTCGAAGGAGGTGTATTGATAGCCTTGTAACTTTGAGCTTCCTTAGCCTAATACAGTTCCATTAGCTTCCTTAGCCTTTTGTTTTCATGTGTATGGGTATTTTGCCTGTATGTAGGTCTAGGTACCACGTGTATGTAGTGCCCTCAGAGGCCAAAAGAGGGGGCCTTGGAAGTGAAGTTATAGATTGTTTTGAGCCACTACGTGGGTGCTGGGAATTGAACCTGAGCCTTCTGTAAGAGCAACAAGTGCTTTATGCTGATAAGTTATCTCTCCAGAGTCTAGTCTTACAAACTTCGATCCTCCCTCTAGCATGCAATCTCTATCAAATGTACATCAGGAGGTCCCTAGGATGGGAGCCACAGTCTCTCTGGCTGAGGAGAGCTGCCAGGTGCTGCAGGGCATCAAGATGTGGACGACCAGGATGCTGAACTGGGCCACTTTAGGGCTGAATGGAGACCACTGCCAGGATCCTGAGAACTTTTATGAAATGCTCCATCCTCATTGACAGGTTTTAGAATATCTGTGGTCAAACAGACCTCTGGACACACGGGACATTCTCTGGGGCTCTGTGGGTAATGGCTGAAGACTGAGCTTCACTAGAATGTATTATACTCCTGGAGTCAGAAGAGACCAAATTCATTTTAAGTGTCTCCATTCAGCCTCTGCCCACAACATTGTCTTCAGGGAACAAAAGCAACCTGGGACCTTGGTAAAGAGCATCAGAATTATATCAACTTGGAGAAAAGATGCTACTGGTGTATCTTCCTCTCTGTTCTGAGCATTCTGCTGAACCCAATCCTGATGGAGCATGAGTGGTAGCGGGGGCTTATAATCCTGTCTGGTACAGGAGGGACTCTACTCTGAAGGGGTGCTGGGAAAGACCTTCTGGTAGTCCCCATGTCAGGACAGGAGACCCAAGTTACAACAGTGACATCCAGCCATGAAATGCTGCCCCGCCTTCATCCTCACAAAGCTGTAAAATCTTAATAGATATAGGTGTGGTGTCTCATGCCTGTAATCCCAGAGTTTGAGAGGCTGAGACATGAGAACTGCCATGAGTTCAAGGTCACTGGGCTACAGAGTGGTGGTGGTTTGATGAGAAATGGCTCCAGTAGTCTTGGGAATTTGAAAACTTGGTCCCCAGCTGCTGGTGCTGTTTCAGGGGATTGGGTGTGCAGCCTCATTGGAGGAAAATGCAGCTGTGAGGTTAAAAAACCCCCACCACTCCCGTTTCACCCCCTTCTCTACCTCATGCTTGCATTTGAAGATGTGAGCTCTCAGCTTCCAGCTCCAGCCGTCATGCCTTCCCACCGTGGTGGACTCACTCTCCTGAACCATAAGCCTAAATAAACTTCCATAAGTTGCTTTTGGTAATAGTGTTTTATCAAAGCAGCAGAAAAGACAATGATAGTAAATTTCAGGTCAGCTTGGGCTACAAAATGAGACTCTGTCTAAAATAGTGATGATGATGATGATGATAATAATGAATTCCAGGTCAGCTACAAAATGAGACTCTGTCTAAAATAGTAATGATAATGATAATAATAATATTGAGGTAGAGGAGGAAGAGGAAGAGGAGAAAGTAGAGAAGGGAGAGGAAACTAATTTATTTAGGCTCACAAACTGGTTCCCCAGCTCTTCAATGAGGTGTTTGGGTGCACCAAGAGAAAGTAAAATCATAGCATTGTGTTAGAGAGAGACAGAGACAGAGAGAAAGAGTGGGGGGGAGGTGGTTTTTTTTAAGTATAAATCAGGTTCCCACTGAGGATGATTCTTTTCTTTTATTAAATTATTTTTATTTTACATTCGCAGGTAGTTTGCCTGCCTGTGTATCTGTGAGAGGGTATCAGATCCTCTGGAACTGGAGCTACAGTTGTGAGCTGCCATGTAGGTTCTGGGAATTGAACCCAGGTCCTCTGGAAGAGAAGCAAGTGCTTTTAACCACTGAGCCACCTGTCCAACCCCCAAGGGTGATTATTTTTTATCTACTTGCTTGATAAATAGTCCAGTGTGCCCACATGTGTGCTTGGCTAGGAGGCAGCTCATGTAATGTCTGCTCTGCTGGGCAAAGGTATCACTACTTGAAGCTCTCTGAGGCTTTCAAGCCAGTGGAAGAGGAGAGACATCCACTGTTACAAGCTTTGAATGTGGTCAGCTGGAGCCAGGGCTCCTTCATTTACATTTGGGGAGATGAGTCCTGGCAGCTCAATTCCCACACTCCCTCCCCTTGTCTGACCCAGCATGAAGCATTATGTTCTTTGGTTGGAAGAGAGTGAGATCCAAGGCTTTCAGTGGGGAAGGGACTTGGTTGGAAATCTAAATGACCATAGGTGGCTCTTGGGGAGGTGCCTGGGAAGGATCCGAGAGCTGCTCAAAAACAGGTGAGTGAGATGCACCATATCTGGTGTGGAGCATAGTTCATACATATCCTGGTTACTTCCTGTACTACTGGGCTACCTGCCCTCAGAATTCTCAAGCTGGCCTTTTCTGTGTCAACTAGTAACCCCTGAGACAAGACAGGAGGAGGAAATGGAATCCTCAGTGAGGAGAGAAATGTGGTTCCCAACTCAGATTCTGAATCACATTAAGCCCCAGGCGATACCATGTCCTCCAGTTATCCATGTTAAACTAACACAAATCACAGTTACCCTCAGAATTACCTTCTGCATCGCACGCATGCACACTCACACACACACACACACACACACACACACACACACACACTTCTTGTCTTAAGCACTATTCAATATTCCTTCTTGCTCCAACCCTCCCCTGAAGAGAAAAGAGAGTCAAGAGAAGAGATGGGGCAGAGGTGGATAATATGGGTTATATTAGTGAAGAAATGGGTGCCAAGGAGAAGCCAGCCATCTTGGACAACTCCTGGTCAGCAGGCGAAGCCTTCTGCATCAGGAGCCAAGACCTGACTTCACCCAAGGTCTGTCTGTGCTTCTGAATGACCGGCTGAGGTCCCCAGCAGCCCCAGGCTTAAGACCTTATGGCTTTGGAACCTGGTAAGAACCTTTGGTCTCAGGGGCAACAGCAGGCAGACCCAAAGCTGGTGACACTCCAGGCCAGCATATGAGTGCTGGCATTGTGACCTCAGCTGTTCCGCACACAAAGGTGGTCACCCTGCCATTGCCTAAACCTGTAAGTTGCATAAGACAGTGGCTCGGTCCCAGGGGGCTGTTGTGGGGAGGTTGGGAAGGTGAAGAACGCCCTGGCTCTTCCATCATGTCATCCAAGAGGGCAGAACTGAAGGAAACCAACCCGGTAAAGGAAGAATATTGCCAGGCATTGTAGCTCCCTGTGGGCTCCTGCCAAATGGGTGCTGGGCAGAAGGGATATTGGAAATGACCCTTCGAGCCTTCCAATGTTCTTTCTGTGTTCAGAGCACAAAGCAGCCCTCAGCCTGGAATGTGTGGAAATTGGTGCCTGGTCTTGGGGTGGGAAGGACGGAGTCTGTGACAGCTCCATGTAAGACCCAGTGTTCCTCATGACAACTCAACAGTCCAGGACCCAGCCAAGGCCTGTATCTGTCTGGCCCATCTAAGGTTCAAAATAACCTCAATAGATTATTAAGCCTACTTTATAGATGAGGAAATGGAGGCCTTGGCACTAAGTAATATACTTACCTTAGTATGGCTAAAAGAGAGGACAGCTGAGGTTAGAGCCTGGGTCATTCCTGAAACAAACTCTGGGGCTTCCTAAAAGTTGTCTGAAGGAGCTTTCTTTGTCTGCTGGATGGACACATGTATGCTCATTAGAAACAGATAACATGACCAGGTGCAGTGGCCAGAAATGGACACCATGCTGGGACCATGGGAGCCTGTACTCAAGTGTGGTTGCTGCGGTCCTCTTGCAAGGATTGACTAGTGTCTTCCCCCAGTCCTGATACTCAGCCAACTACCCTGTGACCGTCTCTCTCTACAGAAAAAGAACTACAAGGCAGTTTGCTTGGAACAGAAACCAGAACTGACACAAGTAAGAAGTTTTGAAGCTATGCCAGCAGTCAGGCCTGAGATCCACGGGGAGGTAATTGGAGACAAGGGTCATTTCCCACTCTTGGTAACTAGAACCTATCCTAGGTGCTGGGACATGTAAGAAAGATGAGTTGTCTTCATAGATCTTCACACCAGTGACCAACCAGACACATAAACAACATAGAACGTCAGCTGCATCACCTGTTACGTGGAGAAGGAAGATTAGGAGAGGAGTGGGTGGCTGTTTTAGGGTTGGGAAAGGCCTCTCCTGGAGCACAGCACAAGGCCTAGATGCTGGCCGAACAGAGTCCAAGAAAGAACCTTCTAGACGGAGGGAAGCAGTAGCCTGAGGCAGGAATAAGGCTGGCTGTGCAAGGGGGCCCACTGAGCTAGAAGTATGGAGAACACTGAACCCAGAGAGGAAAGAAAAGGGCAGAGGGGACTTGCCTTTGTGCCCTGTCCCCAGGGAGGGACAGAACTGAGGGTGGGTTCTCTAGGCCCTGCAATCCCACCCACACCTACTGTTTCCAATGCTTCTGTGTTTCTATTTCAATCCATAGATATATGATTGCAAAGGACTTAAACCTGAAGGGCTATTCATCAAAAAAGGGATGACACAGGAGCTGAAGGTCAGTGTTTGGGCCCAGGTGGCCTGGGGACAGATCACTTGTGAAGGGGTGGCCCATCAGCTAACTTCTGAGTGTTGGTACCTGCTGGCACCTACAGCCTGGAGGCGTCACTAAGTCCTGGTCTTGTATTTTTAACCTGTTACTTTGAAGCAATTTGATTTATCTAGAAGTTGCAAAGAATTAAGTATAATGAATTCTAGTACATATTTCACCCAGAGTCCCTAAATGCTGGCAATGTATCACTGTCACTTTAGTTAGTCTCTGTTTCTGTCTGTCTCCTTTACACACACACACACACACACACACACAGAGAGACAGAGACAGAGACAGAGAGACAGAGAGACACCTTCATATCTATAGGCCCCAACCCTTTAATTCGAGCAATCTGGGATTTAAAATATTTGATAAAGCATTACAGATATTTTTCCATCACTTCTGAACAAGACAGCAGAACCATCATGTGCATAGCATTTGCATGTGAATTGTAAGTGAGTCAGGAGCGGATGGCTTCATGCATATGCGAGGGTGTGCATAGGATGCAGGGGATGTCAGCACTGACAAATTTGGGTATCTGCAGGGTTCCTGAAACCAATTCCTCTCAGATACTGAGGAGCTGCTGTGGCTGCTTCCTAGTCTACCCTTTCTGGATAATGGGTGGGCATCCTGCTTGTATCTCCCTTTCCTGGACTCTTCCCTTGACCTTCATCATAGAGGGTCCTGAAAACAATCCTCCGTGGATACCCAGAATGACCGACTCCATACACTCTCTGAACCATTTGAGAGTTAAGTTTACCCAAATCTTTAAGATGTACCTCCGAAAAACAAGCATATTCTCTTACAGTTTTTGTTTGTTTGTTTTGTGTGTGTGTAATTATCAAGTCATTAACAAAACCCTTATTTTTGTCACCAGCTGTGTCATTTCATTACTAACAACAAAATCACCTGACCTGGGATCTAATCCCTGACACGTGTTACCTCTAGTTCCCCACCTCCACCACCCCTGCTGTGTGTGTGTGTGTGTGTGTATGTGTATGTGTGTATGTGTGTATGTGTGTATGTGTATGTGTGTGTGTGGTATGTGTGTGTATGTGTGTATGTGTGTGTGGTGTGTGTGTGTGTATGTGTGTGTGTGTATGAGTATGTGTGTATGTGTATGTGTATGTGTATGTGTGTATGTGTGTGTGTGGTATGTGTGTGTGTATGTGTGTGTGTGTGTGTGTGTGTGTGTGTGTGTGTGTGTGTGTGTGTGTGTGTGTGCTCATTCACGCACTTGCAGAGGCCAGGAGAGGGCATCAAATCCCCATGCAGTTATGAGTCTCCAGATGTTGATGTTGGGAATGGAACTCTGGAAGAGCAGCAAGCATTCCTAACAGTTAAGACATCTCCAGCCCCATCACATCTCTTTAGAGTGGGGTTACTTTTTCAATATTTGTCTTACTGGACACTGAAAGTTGTGAGGATTTGTTTTACTGATGGGCCCTTACTTTCTACGTATATGCCTTTTCTAGATTTAGGCTGGGGATCTTAGGCAAGCCTTCCAAAGCTAAGCTCCTTCAGGGTGTCTCTTCCTCAGGTCTCCCAGTCCCTCCACTCTGTTTGGGAGAGCCCCAGCGACCTGTCCTTGTTGACTGTTAAGAGATGCCTCCATTGTGTTTCTCTCACATTTATTTCCTCAGAATGAACTCAGGGAGGTGAGAGAAGAACTCAAGGAAAAAATGGAAGAGATAAAACAGGTAACACAATAAAGCGTCAGCAAGAGGGGAAAAGGAAAATGGAATTGCTGACTCTTGACTAGTAAAGGAAATCAGGAATTGCAGGAGAAAAGCGACATCCTAACTCACACCTGGTCTCCTACAGTGTTTGACTCCTGGGCAGCACAGAACGATAATTTCTTATTTCTTCCATGACAAGCCCATTTTTCAAGCAATTAAGAATTCCCTAATGCATTAAGGTTATGGGTGATGCTAACCTCGGCAATCAAGGTAAAGAGGGGCTGATGAGCAATTTGACGGCGGTCACAGATCAACTGCATCCTCTAGGAATCTCCCCAGAGGAAGCCGCACGGAAAGAACTCCCTTGTTTCTAGAATACAGTCACCTATAGCTCACTTAGGGAATGGGGGACTAAGCAAGACGGAGTAATTGAAATGTGTGGTCTGAGCTCCACATGTCAAAGCTGTTGATAGAGACGACTTGGTGGTGGTACCCATACCCTAGACCCTTCATAGACTTCTCATGGAGAAAGTGACTTATGCAGAGCTATTATTCATCTGTTCCCAAAATCCAGCTGCTGCCCTTTACTCAAAATGCCCAGAAGATCCTGTGACTGGCTCCAGCGATACACTTTATGCCTTGTTAAACCACACTTCTCTTCCTCATTAGATAAAGGATATAATGGACAAAGATTTCGATAAGCTTCATGAATTTGTGGAAATTATGAAGGTAAGCTTCCCCTGTCTGCCTTCCGTGGGTCACATGGGAAATGATGGAAGAGATGCCAGGCCCCTGCCCTGGGGTACCTGTAACCCGCCAGACAGGCTTGCAAGCTAAGGTGCAGGCTGGCTGTTAATCAGGGGTTTAGAAGTGGAAGTGGGAGCTAGGAAAGAAGTCCTTAGAGAAATCCAAGCCTAAGGCTTGACTATGTTGGATGTGAAAGTAGCTGCAGGCCCAGCATGGTTCCCTTTTGACTCAAAAACAAGGATAATTCAGACCACAGAGCAACAGTTTGCAAACATTAGTCTTTTTCAGAAGGACGTGTGACAAGAGCCCCAGGTTCACATTCAGATAGGAAATGAGCCCCCCACCCCACCCCCCACCCCAGGAGAAGCTTGAGAATCACTGATTTAGATGCATCAGTAGGCAAAAGGCAATGGCTAGAGTATTTTCAGGAGTTCTAAGGGACACTAGGATTGCCAGATAATTAAAAGTCACAATAAACCCACAGTCATCACATCAGGGTGGTTAATAATAAACAGAGAAATGAAGGGATGTACGTATGTAACTCTGGGATGGCTTCTTTGCCAGGGATGGATGACCTGAGAATGCCCCAGGAGCATACTAAACATCCACACATCCAGACTGCATACATACCAAAGACTGAGTAAAAACTTCTTCAAGGTGGAGTTGCTTAAGTGCCACAAATGACTTTAAAATGTATATGTGTGTTTATATATGTATATGTATATGCACATATATATGTATATTGAGATAGTCTTTGTAGCAATGCTGGCCTCCAACTTTTGCTTACTACACACACACACACACACACACACACACACACACACACACACACACCTGCCCCCAAGTGCTAGGATTGCAGTACATGTCCCACACTTGGGTTCTTCACAAGTGATCTGGATGTGTGATCTTTGATGCAAACCAGGTCCTAAACCCTTGAACACACCCATAAATCTCAGCTGCACGTTGGAACAAGATCAGAGAATTCTGTCATACTGTCCCTTTAAACCTAGGCTCTCCTCAGAACAGCTAAACCAGAATCTTTGAGGGTGAGAGCCCAGCACCAGTGACTTTTAAATTTCCCTATGGGATTCTAATGGACGATTAAGGCTGAGAACCATATTTCCATAAAGTTTTAAATATGATAAAGGCGATTTTTTTTTGGTGGCAGTAGGGATTGGATACTGGGTCTCACATTACTAGGCACTGAGTGGGATCCATCCCTGTAATAAAAGGTGAATTTTTTTGAAATGTCAGTGAGAAGAAAAGGGTTACATAACAATACAAGAACATTGCTCGACTCTGTGAGGAAAAACCAATTCATTAGCTCTGTAAGCTGAACTGATCTATAACATGAATTTGAAAAATAAAAACCAGTAAGGAAAAGTCATAAACATGAGTATAAATGGACAAAATGGAAAAATGCTGATGTTTTTGACTGTATAAACATTTTTTAAAAATATGGTGGAAAAATACCAAACGCAGAATTTAAAAGCAAATTGAGGAAACATGTGGTAAGGGGCAAAAGGTTTATAATCCACAAAATATAGCTCTCACACAAAACAACAGGAAATCCCTGAGAAAATGGGCAAGGGCGTGATGAGACAAGCCAGAGAGAACAAAGACACAGAGCACAAACAGCTTCACTTCCAAGGAGCAGTTCTGCAACTAACACAGAGCTGGGGCGGGAGAGAAGGCTGAGCAGGTCAGGGTGTGTGCTGCTCCTGCTGTGGACCCCAGTTAGTTCCCAGTGTGGGCACTGGGCTCACAGCTGCCCATAACTTCAGCTCCAGGGGATCAGGCATCTCTGTCCTTGGGAGACATCTGGACTCAGGAGCACAAACCCAGGTACACACGCATACACAGCATCTACAAAAGATCACTATGTAATGTAACATTCACACTCAAATAGCAGCATTTGCATTTAGGACAATAAACTACTGATAAGAATACTAACTCATACAAAAGTGGAATGTTAGAAAATAGCCATTTATCCCGTGAGAATGTTTAAAACTCAGTATGAGTATGTATAAACAATTTTAATTTCAGAATTATTTATAATAGCGAACATTTGGGAACAACCACAATTTGCAATAATAGAGAAGTAACTAAATTATGGTTTATCCATACATTAACATTAGGGTTTATTAAAGACAAAGCTTATAAAGAATGCTTAGTGTAAACATATAGGAAAAAGATTGAAAGAGAAATATACCAAACAGGCACATAGCAATCTTGTGAGGGAGGTAAGAATATTCATTTTTTAAATATTCTCCTGTTTTATCCAGTTTTGGTTTTTTGTTTTTGCAAAGGGCACATACTCTTTCTGTATTAACATGCAGACACCATAAGCATTTTATTAGTGGCCGCTCTGGGTATGGAAGGGCACAAAGGAAGTTATTTCGGGCAGGGAACAGCTGGGGCACAGCAGGAGGATGGCTGTGTTTCCCAGCCAGCGGGGAGACCAGCCGCGGAGGGCGGTCATCTGGGGGAAACTGAGAAATATAACTGCATGGGCACACAGTGGACACTGATGGGGCTTTAGAAACAGCCGACAAGCTGGGACTCGACTCCATAAGCAGCAAGAAGTCTCTGGAGGTTCTTAAAGAGGACGCAGGGCGCAGCCGCTGCCAAGGCGGGCTGGGAGGGGCGGAGCAGGTGGGGAAGGCCTGGGATAGCCGCCAGCTGTGACAGAGAGGGGAGGGCTGGCGGAGCCCGCGCGCGGGGAAGAGAGGAGAAGTTGAAGGAGATGCGGTGGCTTCTGGTGACAGATTCGGGATACTGGAGTCTCAAGTGAAGGTCCATGGTGACACGAGAGTGTCCATCTGGACGGACGAGGCACTGGGGAAACTGACGAGCATGGGGAGGAAGTGGAAGGAGGAGAGGTTGGGCGGGACTTGTGAGAGTAAAGGACCCTGGCGTGTTTGGCCTCCATGAGGTTTTAACGCTATTCCCATGTGTGCTAACATCTACAAATGCACACAGCTACCTTCGGAAGCCTCCCCGCCCCGCCAGTGGTGTGATTGCTGCATCGGATTAACCTGGTTCAGAGTCTTTTTGTGTTAGAAACATTTGACTGGAGTAAAGTGTTTTTATATTTTATGACAACCAGTGCGCACTCAGATCTGTTCAGAATGAAAACTGTCAGTTACAGCTTCTGCACCCTTAGGGCTTCTTCATTTCCACCATTTCTATCCAGCTTTTCCCACCTCAAATTCTATAGATTATTTTCTCTTTTAGTTCTCAGTGAATAATAAATGTAGCTGTGTTGTTTTAGCTACTGTCTTCTATTTCACTTTTATGATTTGTTCCCATTGTTTTAAATTAGTGTGTGTGCGCATGTGAATCCATGCGAGCGCTGTGTGTTTGGGGGGGGGGTGAATGCACTAGGTGACCAGAAGCATTGGATGCCCTGGAGCTGGAGTTACAGGCCATGTGTCCGCTGCAAGAGCAGTGTGTTCTCTTAAGCACTGAGCCATGTATCCAGCCTCCATTTTACTTTATTTCACTTCTTTTGTCTGTCTACTAGAACTGTATTGTTACACACGCGCACACACACCCTCACACATGCGAAAATGCTCCCACGAGCACATTCGCGCGTCGCACACACGTACAAACACTGGAGTCAGAGTCTTTAAGGTTCCATATTTTCTTAGCTGCACTGTTTCATAGGCCTCAGCTCAAATCCTCATACCTAAGGTCAGGCAGAAGAGCTCACCTAGAGGCCATGGTAAGTCTTTATGCCTCTGCCTGTGCTCCAGTATCATCATGGAATAGGGAGGAAGGTGACTGTCAGGGACGTGTCCCATCCACCTCAGGCTGGTGAGGATTCTTGCAGTATGACACAGGAGGAGTCTGCAGAGAGAGGGGGAGGAGGGAGCCCCATGCTCTTGAGAAGGGGTTCTAGTCTTGGGTTCTCTCTTGAAGGAAATGCAGAAGGATATGGATGAAAAGATGGATGTTTTAATAAATATACAGAAGAACAACAAGCTGTAAGTGCCACCCTCCTCCCTAAGGACTCCTCTCTCCACTTGCTCAGCACACTGGGGTTCAGAGATTGCCCCATCAAGGAAATCTCTTGGCTCCACCCTTACAATGGCTGGAAGTCAGGGTCTTCCATGTACCTGTGCACTGGTAGAAACAGTCTCCCCAAATCTCTGCCCCCTCCTGACCCACCAGTCCCCTTCCAAAACAACCAAAGGAGCAGCAGGAACTCGGCCAGATAGGAAAGATAGACAAAGATCCTCAGCTCAGACTCAAGAAAACGGAAGAGCCCAAAGGAGTACCATTGACTGGTGACAAGATGATGATGTCACAAAAAACAAAGAATAATCCACTGGATTCCCTTCAAGCGTGTCAGAGTTGCTGCGTAAGTGAATTCCTGCCTACCCTCAGCACTGGTCCTAGAGCCCTGGACTGCTCCTGTCCTGAGTTCCACTGAGCTCAAACTTTAAAGGGCTAGCCTCACCCTATTGCCAGCCCCTGGATGAATCCCTTAGCCTAGAAACCGTCCTTAGCTGCCCTGCATTCTAGGCTGTGGGGAGTCTTAAGCCATGGTTGTGCAGTCAACCCTTGGATGTGCCTACTCCCGAGTTCTGCTCAGCCACTCTGTCCTTTCCTATAGCAAAGCCTCATGAGGTACCCAGCAGGCTGGCCAACCTGGACCAGAGGAAAAAATGACCTTTCTTGTGCCGTTTCTGTCCTCTACAGGAGAAATGTTTGTTGTGTGCCCTAAAGACCAACTGCCATCGGGGGTAGGTAGATCCACACGAGAGGGGCCTTCTCAGTTGGATGTCTTGTTATCCCAAAGGGAGTGTGTTTCAGCTTCCTTTTGCAGCCAGCCCCATCTGTCGTTGTACAGGGAACAGGGACTGTGAGTGGATTCTGCCCCCAGCATACCCACCCAGGCGTAGAGGATGTGGCACCAGGAAAGAGGATTTGGGTGGCCAAGCCTTAGGTTGCCATCCACAGGCTCCCGTGGTGGGGAGGGTACACCTTCAGCTGCAGCCTCAGCCCGGCCCCAGGTCCCCCACCTTTCTCCCACCTAGCAGGAGACCATCACACCATGCCTGGGCGCCCTTTTCACCTTTATCATCTGGAGCTGCTTTCTGATTTATCTGTACTTCAACCCCGACGAGATGGAATACGTGCTTCCCACCTAGCACGTGGAGCCCGCCAGCAGCTCCAGCCCATCCTCTCTCCGAGCTGCACAGCAGGGTCTTCTGCCTTTCTTAAACACCCCATCCCCACCCCAGCCCAGGCTTCAACTGGAGATTAAAGACTTCCATTTACAGCCCAGACCGTGTCACCATTTTGAGTGCCAGCCCAACATTTGGGTGCCCGAAGCAGTACTTTTTTTGTTGTTGTTGTTCTAAATCAGTATATTTCAGACCCCAATCCCTTTTGCTTTCCTTGTTGGTTAGTGGGACATTCTGTCTGAGTGACCTCAGTCTTGGCTCTCTCCACTCCACTGCCCCCCCAAGAAAATAAAAACAAACAAACAAAAAGAGGTCAGAGCCCCAAGATGACCGGGAGATATGGAGCACCAGCCTGTATAGGCTCAAGAAATACACCCACTGCCCTACTGATCCCCCACATTCTGTGCCCCTGCAATGTGTCCTGGATATCATGGGTAACTCTGGAAGCCTCTGAGTCTCAAGTCTCGTAGGACTGCGCTGTTCTCCTCTAAGGTCTTATCACCAAGTAGAGTGGTGCACTTCTTGGGCTCTGGTGCGGTTCACCTACTTTTTGCCTTTGAGGATTTCCACCTTCCCTCCCTCCCTCCCTCCCTCCATCCCTTCCTCCCTGCCTCCTACCCCTCCACTCCAAAGGAGCAATGTCCCTTCAAAGACCTTTTACAAATTGGAGATGAACTGGGCATGGTGGTGCTTGTCTTTGATTCCAACACCGGAGGGGCAGATCTCTATGAGTTCAAGGCCAGTCTGGTCTACAAATCAAGTTCTAGGCCAGCCAGAGTGATGCAGTGAGACCTTGTCTAAAATAAACAAAAAAACCCCACAAACAACAACAAAAACAAATTAGAGATGAGTCAGTTATCACCAGCCTCTCCTGTGCCCACCTCAAGTCCCTAAGAGAGGCAAGATAAAAACTGGTTGCTAGTTTAAATGAGAGGGAAGAAATGTAGAGAAAACAGTATTGTAGTGACCACCCCACCACGGTGTGTCTCTTTGGTTTTGGTCTGACAACTCTCTGTAGTCACTGCACACCAATTTTTCCGTCATTTTGTTGGCTGCTTCTACTTTTAGACATTTCAATCAGTCAAGTTCGTAATGGTAACAATGCAAACACATTTAGTGCTTCAGAATCACATTTTAAAACAAAAGCCAAACACAACTTGGGCCTTGTTATTCCAAGGAGTTTGCAGTTTTAATGGAGAGATGGTAAACATACACTGTAAGCATTAGAGCTCGGATGGAAAGGGATCCTGGCGGTCAGGAGCCAAGGAACACCACCAAGTCACCGTAAGTACAGCAGCTCACAGCTGTGCTCAGTTGTGTGTTGTCAGAACCTCCCCCCAATCCCCACCCCCCATCCACCCCCACCCCCCACCCCCACCCCCACCCCCGCCCCCCACCCCCACCTCCGTGTAACAACTCTGCTAGCAGAAGGTTTCTCTCTTGGCTCCGCAAAAAAATTACTTCTCTGCTCTCCTCCACTTGGGGGAAAGAAGGTCTCGCCCAAACCTCATTCAAGAGATGTATTGGAAGAATCTAGGAGGATGGCTTCCTTTTCCACAGTGGGAAAAGGCAATTCCCAATTGAACAGGCAAAGGGCTTCTATAGGGCTTCTTAGGGGCAGAGTTTGTCCAGGGTGGAGATTTCAGGGTGGGAGTTGATTGGATTTCATGCTCAGGGATTGGTTAGTTTTTCTGCTCAGGGGTTGGTTGGTTTTGTACTGAGTTGGTCAAGGCCTGTAACGTAAGTCTTTTCTCTGGCTCAGGTAGGTCCCACAGCTCTTCTCTGCCCCAAAGAAACACGTGGACACTATATTAGTACAAATCTGTTGACGTGACTTTGGCTTCTTATTCTTAACCCATAACTACTAATGTATGTATTATCTTACCGAAGAAAAGGTCCAGGCCTCCTACTCCCTTGGGGCCGACATCACGTCTGCTCAGTGTCTCCGTAGAGAAGGGAAGAGAAGAGAGAGATTTCCTGTTTGTCCCTGCTTATATACTGATTCTGCCCTGCTATGTCACTGCCTGCCTGGATTACCAGGCGACTTCTCTTTACTACATTTCCCAGAGTCCTCCTCGACTCCTAGTTCCACCTATTTTGCTTCCCTATTGGCCAACAGTGCTTTATTCATCTACCAATCAGACAAACATATACACAGAGGAACATTCCCCATCATCCATTCTTTCACCAAGTCAGAGTAAGACAGCCTTTCTACCTCCCTGCTTCTGTGTTGGTCAGTCTGATACTCTAGGCCTTAGCCAGAGCTGGTTGCCCCTATGCTGCTATGAGACTTTGGGTGACTGTCCAGGTAGCCTGCTGTGTCTGTCTTCACTACACCTTTGGAAGCTGCTCGCCTGCACTTCCTGCCTACCCTAGTATTGTTATCCTCCTTCTCAGGTCTTTGACAAGGTTGAAGATTAGACTCATGATTATTGTTCTCTCTCCCTGGATAGAAATAGTAGGTACAAGACTCAAACTTTCCAACTTAGGATAACCTTATAGTAATGACTGGCTGTGTAGTTCTTGCCATTTTCTCTAGTTGCTTCACTGACAATAGGTCTTAGGTATGTTTGTTCTTATTTTCCTCCTCCTAGAGCATACTTGATATTTGCTATCTTTGTATATAGTTTTGTAACAAGTCTAAATCTTCTCTAGACTAAAAGGAGAACTGTAGCATGAGGTCACAGGTGCATGCATGAGGTGCGAGTTTAAGCTGGCTCAGACAGGCGCGCACTTTCTTGTTGCTGGCGGAGTCACTGGCAATAGCTTGGGAGGATCCTTGGAGCTGGAACCTGTGGCAGCCTCTTGTGCAAGTGTAATCTCTCCGAATAAACACTATTTAACCTGCACTGAGCCTAGTGAATATCGATTCCCACCAGACAAGGGCCAGAGTGTGTTTCTTTGCCTGTGGTTTCAGAGCCAAAGTGTGTCTCTTTCAATTTCACGTTTTAATTTTTTGGTTCTGGTTTCAGGGCCAGAGTGTGTTTCTTTGGCTGGACCTTTTACTCTACATATGCCACGTACTATATATTATAAGGCATCTATAATTAAGTAGAGTAACCAAACATGAGGCAAGCAGGAGACAGATGGGGCTAGCCCTGTCCATGTTTCTATCTCCACCATTAACAGACTACCACAAATGGAATGACTTGGAGCAACAAGAAATGGATCTTACTTTGCTAACGACAAGGTGTCAGAGGACTTACATTACTGTGGGAGGCTTTGTGGGAGAATCTGTCCCTGCCTTTCCCGGCCTCAATGGCTGCCTCCCTTCCGCAGACCATCTACAGCCGGTGTGGTCTGTCTCAAGTTGTATCATGCTAACATGTCTCACCTTCCCTTCCTTCGGCTTTCTCTAAGACTTTTGTGATTACCTAGATAACCTAGAATGTTCTCATTATAGGCAGTGATTAGCCACATAATGTAACAGAAGACTAAAACTTGGGTGTCTTCGAAAGGGCATACTCTGCCTACCATTGTGTCATCTCAGACTCTAACCCCTGCTATGTGACCAAGCCCACAAACACTTTGGAATGGTGTGCTGTTATTTAGGGTGATGGTTTTCAACCTGGCCCACAAACTCCACCACTACCCTTTCACTAAAGGAATCTAATCGTTCTCCCGTTGTGGAATAGATGTAGTGACTAATGAACAGAATGATGCAAGTTACTTTGGAGATATAGTGGCTTCCTTCCACCTTGCTGTCCTTGGAAGCTGGCTGCCATGCTTTGAGGTCACTGAAACTGTCCTATGACAAGAAACTGAAGCCTCCTGCCAAGAGCTACCTAACATACCATATGAGAAGTAGGTCTCGTACTGGGAATGTAGTTCACTTGATTGATTATATAGCATGCAGAAAGGACACAGATCCTCAGTGCTGCATAAAACTGGCCCAGCCCGCCACTTGAGAATCTCTCCAATCTCTTTTTAGAAGGACACTAACTCCATTCACAAGGGCTATGACTTTTAGACAGATTGTTATTGCCGGTAGGCAGTTTATTGGAGAGCTAGTTACCTCCAAAGGCAGCTCCTGCACATTTTAGAGGCAGATGACCATCTAAACTATCACATCTCCCTCCTCTACACCCTGGACAACCTTTGCTGTTTTCTAGGGACCTACTTCTCTCCCTTCTTGGGATAGTGAGGACTGAAATATGTCTGTTTTTCTCAGACCTGAGGCTCCAGACTTGGCACACTGCTCATGAATGAATATGTAGTCCTTGATCAGCAATCAGCCTTCAAGGCTCAGAAGATGAAATGGTTCTGGTCTAAAGTCTTCATTCATTAATGGCAGAAAAGGAAACTGGCCTGGAACACAAGAGAAAGGCCCTATGACCCTAAAATACAACCCCCCACCCCAGTCCTGTTCTTCTTTTAAAAACTAAATCCTTTCCCCCTCTGAATCAAGTGGCTATAATCATAATTTGATTAATTAAAAATGTTTTCCCAATCCTCTGCTTTTTAGTATTCATCTGCTAGCTCATTATTCCTACCGTGGTTGAGATGAGAATATAAATTTGTTTGAGAGGAACCAATGTTAATGTTACTAGAAAGAAGTATGAACTTGACCCATGATCTCAAATCATATTCTTTGGCAGGTGACCCTAAGCCTCAGGATTCAAGCCCTGACTGTCCCCAAGGCTCTATCCATGTGTCTCTCTGGGGCCTCCCTGTCGTGCCAAACTCCACACAGCCACCAACAAATCTCCCCATCTGTGCCCCCAAATCTCTTCTTAACCCAAAGTCACAACAGAGGTCCTTGTCCCCACTCAGTTTTCTGACAGCCAGAGCACAGGGGGATCCCTAGCCCAATGCTGACCCTGGTCCCCAGCAGGATTCCCTTCAGCCCATCTGTCTACCTGTCGACTTGGTGCCCTGGATAAGCCATCAAGAGACTGGAGTGTTAGAGAGTGTGAGTCCCAGAGCCGCTGGGCCTGGAGCTCCTGTCAGAGCTCTGTGGGTTAGTGTGAGGATCCCTGAGAAGGTGAATAGTGCAAAGCCCACAGCGATGTAGGGAGGAAGCTGTCTGTCCTCTGCATTGTCCTGTTTGTCTGTTTGTCGTCTCCACAACTGACTGATTCTGCACACACATGTGCGATA